TGGCTAGTTTGAATCATTTCAGCAGGCTCGTGGGCATAGGGGCTTCCCCTGTCTCATATCTGGCCCTGGAGTGATTAGGATAGGTATATAGCAGCCCATAGTGTGAGAGCCTAATAAAGAAAGTGGTTGGGGTGTGGATTTAATTAGCTACTCAAGAAGGGGAATTGACTAGCCTCCAGCCAGAGCTTCAAAACTGAGTCAAGATAGCATTTATAAGAACTATATTACAAGAATCCACTGGTCTTGTAATTTGTTCCAACATGTGCTCAGTGGTCGGGTAAAGAGTGTCTTCCCCCAAATTCATGTCCACCTGCAACCTGTATATGTATAATCTTATTTGGAAATAGGATCTTTGAAGATGCAATTAAGTTAAGATGATGTCATACTGGATTAGAATGGGCCCATATCCAATCACTGTTGGATTCCAATCAATTTCTGCCTCCATATGAAGATGGAGGCAGAAATTGAGCAATGCATCTGCAACCTAAGGAATGCCAAGGATTTCCAGGAGCCACCAGAAGCTAGGAGGAGGCAAAGGAGTTTTCCCTAGAGTATTCAGAGGACATGTGGCCATAGAAACAGCTTGATTTTAGACTTCTGGCCTCAGAACTGAGAGATAATAAATTACCCAAGTCACTTATAATGGCAGCCTTAGGAAACTAATACAGATTTTGATACCAGGAAGTAGGGTGCTCCTGTAACAAATACTTGAAAATGTCGAATGTGGCTTTGGAATTGGTTAAGGGATAGAGGCAGAAGAATTTTGAGGCACAAGATAGAAAAAGCCTAGAATGCCTTGAAGAGAGGGTTAGTGGAAATACATATGGACATTAAAGGTTATTCTGGTTAGAGCTAAAAGATAAGTAAGGAGCACTGTAGAGAACGCTTCTATCCTCTTTAGAGAATACATATATTGACACGAACAGAATTTTAGTAGAAATATGAAAGTTGAAGGTGCTTCTGGGCAAGAACTTAGAAGGAAATGAGAAACATGTTATTGGACACTAGAAGAAAAGCAATTCTTATTTTAAAGTGGTAGAGAACTTGGCTGAATTGTATTCTACTGTTTGACAGAAAGTAGAACTTAGAAGCAATGAACTTAGATATTTAGCTGAAGAGATTTCTAAGAAAAGTGTTGTAGGCACAGACTGCTTCTCCTTGATGCTTACAGTAAAAAGCAGAAGGAAAGAAGTAAATTAAGAAAAGGATAGTTAAGCAAAAAGGAGCCAGCTCTTGATGATTTTGGTGGTTCTCAGGCTATCCAGATTACAAAGGATTCAAATATTAAGAAATTCACTGTTGGAAAGTGTGCTCTGGAAAAAGGGGCCAAGGGTGTGGCTGGACAATCTTTTGCTGAAGAGATTGGGCTTGTGACTCATGGATCCAACTGGCCATCTCAGCAAAAGCAAGAATAGAGATGGGGTTATCCAGGAAAGATCTATGGAGGACCCTCTTGTCTGAGGACTGAAACCCCATGAAATGCACAGGAAGCTGACAAGGGTTCTGAGAATGTTATACCAGGAAAACTACTGGAACCTGAACTCCAAGGAACAGAGATGGAAGAAAATGAAGGGAGGCTGTGGGACTTCCAAAACCCTAAAATAGGACATGGGCTGACAGAGGTTCTCAACTATAGACATGCTTTATCCCCCAACTTTTAAGTTTTATTGAAAGGTAAACATGAGGGGTGCCCGGGTGGCTCAGTTGGTTAAGCATCTGCCTTCGGCTCAGGTCATGATCCCAGACGGGGTCCTGGGATTGAGCCCCACATCAGGCTCCCTGCTCAGTGGGAAGCCTGCTTCTCCATCTCCCTCTGCTGCTCCCCCTGCTTGTGCTTTCTTTCTGTCAAATAAATAAAATCTTTAAAAAAAAAAAAAAGGTAGATATGATGTATCAGGTAAAAGCAACCAAGTTAAATAGGCTATTAATGTGAGCTTTTATATTTATCTGGCTAAGAATCACTCTGTGTTTATTGTTTGCTGTGGCTGTAGGTATCAGAGGCTAAAATTTCCTCCAGTGTTCTTATTTTAGTCTCCTCTTCTGTGTTTGGGTTTCCCAGCAGATTTCTTACATAGATTCTGAGCCCTACAGTTCTTTAAGTTGTATTATATATATCATAACAAGAACCTTAGTGATGTGGTGGTAATATGTGGGAGGAGGGGGAAGTACTGTATAATCCTATAGTCTTTTACTGAGCTTCTGCCCGAAGACTATAACCTTCTAAAGCTTCCCAGCTTTTTTCTCCCTTTATGTGACATAGGAAGGCTAGAGAGGGTTGGGTATTTCTCTTCCCCCAGATTGGGTGGGCTCTAGTAAAACAGTTTCCCTGAGGATAGGCCTTTGTTAAGGAGAACTGGGTGCGCTGGCAATTTTCCAAGTGGTTACTTTTCCCTCCTTTTGCCAGAAGCACCAGGGGATTCTTCTCCAGTCTTGACCCTAAGAACCTGTTAGGGTTCCTGGAGGTAAAAACCCACAAGAATGTGAGGGTTGTCAATGCAAAATGAATAAAACTTTCAGAAACTCTAAAAGAAAGAAAGTTTTATCACAGCCCAAGTTAGGACAGCTGCCTGGGAAACACACTCTTCACAGGAAAGATAATGCTCCAGAGAACGAACGCTTTGTACAGGGTTATAGATTTTTTTTATGTCTTGTAAAAAGGTCAAAAGATTACAGATGAACATATAGGCAGGAATCATAAATTTTAATTTAACATTAATGCAATGCTAAATGCAAGGAGTAGGAGTATTCATTGATACCTATGGTTTTCCTTTATGGCTTGGCGGGCCATAAATCAGGCTTTTGGTTTAAATGAAGTTTATACAGTCATGCTAACTTAGAAATCTAAAATGGCTTCCCCTTGGGAAAAATTAAAGATGTTACTGCAGATAGAAATCTCTTCTTTTGCCTTTGACCAATGTCATACTCAAGAGCTTTATTCGTTCACAAAATCTGTACATGCTCTGGTTGGGGCCTCTTCATTTCCTTAGTTTATAAATAAGAATGCCCCAGTTCCTCTGGTGAATCTGCCTGTTTCTCTCTGTCCTGGCTGAGGAGTCAGGAGGAGAGGTGAGGTTGTGCTGATCACCCTGCAGCTGAGGTAGAAAACCTTTGATTTTGCCATCTCTGACGAATTTCTTCCAGTTTTCCTGAGGGCTCTGACTCTGAGTCTGATGGCCATTGGATCCATGCCTAGATCCCAAATGGAGTTGGAAACTGTTCTAACTGGCAAAATCTTTTGTTTGTTTGTTTTCAGTTTTCATTTGAGGAAAACCGACATTTACCTGACTGGCTATTTCTAGTCGGTTTGTAGATGTGTGAGTTGGTTCTGAACCTGCCCAGGGAGTGTTATGGGCTCCATGTTAAGGAGGGCCACAGTCACAGTGACTTTCTCACATTGAAAAACTTGAAAATTATATCAATAATTATCTACATCAGAGCCAAGTTATATTTGCTTTATAGCAAACTGTGGAGAACTAAAAGTGCATTGTACAAAATGTTTATACTGTTCTCGTATTTCACTTATGTCATATTCATGTGACTAGATCAGTACTTTCTAGAAAATGGTTCTGTTAATAATTTAGTGAGTCGCTGTTAAAATTGCTATGGCAATAAATTGATGCCTCTTAGCTATTTTTGTCTAAATTAAGCCACCATGGTAGCAACTACCTAGGATTCTTGTTCTGCAAAAGAACAATAAATATTAAACATGTCAAAATAAAATAAAGTAAAAGAAAATAAAAATAAAATAAAATAAACTTCCTTTATAGATTAGGCCTTTAGAGAGTTTTTCTCTCAACAGGGTCAATTAGCCTTTAAGTTTTCCTACCAGTTACTAGCTCCAGCAACAGCTTCTGAGCCTGGTATACTATGACTCTCTGTAGTCAGTCTTCCCCCCAATTTTCAAGGCAGCAATTCAGCCGTGACTTCAATTTTCCCATGGATCTAAGAAGAGTTGTTAAATTTTAGTTTATTCAGCTTTTTTTTCTTGTGAGGACAGAGTGATGACTTCCCAGCTCCACTGTATCCTATTTTAACCTATAGAATTTAAATTAATATGATTACAGAAATAATTTCTCCCCCTTCCCCCCCTACCAAATGTATGAGTGAATAAATGAGTGTAGTGGTCCACTTCTGAAGGCAGGACCTTAGCCCTGCACATAACCTCCCTGGGTTGACTAAGTGAACCAGACAAAGGGGGTGGAAAATTGACAAAGGCACTTAGTATCTCATGTTTGTATGTTTGGCTCTCCTTGTGACTGGAAGTGTGCAAGTGTTGGGGGTCAAGAGGGATTCTTAAGTTTTAAGTAATTTCCATAAAGGGTTGGGGGCAAACTGGATTGCTTAAAAACTCTAACCACTGGACTAGAAGGCAAACAAAGCGGCCGGAAGACCAGAGAAAATTAAATTGCCAGAGACTTCTTCCAACTGGCCCTCTCCAGTCCATTCATACACTTCATCCTATGCTCCTCCAGAGACTCAGCTCCACTTGTTGCAGCCCAGCCTCTGGACTGGCTCTGGAGCAGAAGCTGCAAGTGTCTTGACTTCACCCATCCCTTCCTCCCTCCCGGAGGGTGCCCCCACCCAGAGATTGACAATAAATTTTGAGTATTTTAAATATTATTCAATATTTAAATATAATGGTATTCAAATCTATAATGTATACGGTATCTTATATAATTAATAAATTACTGATCGAGAAAATAGTTTTATGATGTGATGAAAATTAATACTTCGTTCAAAACACAGAATGATATAGGTCCCGGAGCTCCCCGGGCCCCAGTTTCTCCAGGCTTAATTGGAAAGAAACGCCGAATTCGACCTCAGGCATTCTAGCGGCGAAAATACAAAATTCTCGCCTGGCCAGTAGAAATGAAAAATTAGTCTTCTTCCCATACCGGGAGTCGAACCCGGGCCGCCTGGGTGAAAACCAGGAATCCTAACCGCTAGACCATATGGGAAGTGCTGAAAACACGCCTCTCGTTTCTGTAGACATCACTTACCTCAGCTTGCCGTCTGCCCCTTCACATAACGGCTTCTTACCCGTTGGGCTCGCTCCGCCCCCGGAAATTCTGACTGCGGCTGCGCGAACCCCAGCTTCAAGGGCCCCCCTTCCCCCAAACTGGGCCCCCCCTCCCCCCCCCCCCCCCCCCCCCCCCCCCCGGGCTGGAACATCCGGGTCTCTCTAGGGGGCGGGAACTCCTGCTCCCGGAGATCTCCCAAAGGACTGGAGCCAGGGCAGATTGCAGAGCGTTTGTGGTTTTCTCAGGCCCTATTTGCCTACCATGCTGGGCATTCAAACAGTAAAATGAAGGCTATTGCTTGACCTTCGACATCAACTTACATCTAAAATAAAGGACCCCATCCGGGACAGAGTTCCTCATGAATATCTTTTCTGTGAAAAACAAAAACGTATTGTGTTTTTACTTATTTTGACTTCAAAATCTCACTGGGTTGACACTTCCTAGCAGGATTTTGTTCTGAAAGTCAACCTGTGTGAGAAGGGATGTACTTTTTTTCTCTAGTTTCCTTTTGAGTGCTTCCATAGGCTTTCACTGACAACTCAAGCTCAATGTGGCAAAAACAAAATAAACAATTCCTCCCAATCCAACCACAAATACGACCTACTGCGATTAAAGTAAATGTTAAAGACTCGAGGATTAAAAGAGTGTGGTACCTGTGTATTAACTGACAGTAAAATCAATGAAACAATGGAAACTCCAAAATACGGTATGGGTTTATGTGAAAGAAAAAAAGGTGACATCTCAAATCAATGGTTCAACATACAGTATGTAGACCTATGGTAGAAAAAACAAGCTGGATGCAGGATTCACCCCATACCTCACTGAAACCACAAAAGTTCTTAAGGAAAATACTGGAGAATTCCTTTATCATATCATTTACAACCCCAAATTCAGAGATGATAAAACAGCTGATTGATAAAGTCAACTCTTAAATCAATAAAATTAATTTAAAAAAATATGAGAACTGGGTGGTGGTTACTATAGCTTTCACCTTATTCATTAAACTATTCAATTATTTTGTGCAGTTTAATGTGTTTTATTTTACAATAAAGGTTTAAAAAAAAACACCATAAGCAAAGTTACAAGAGAAATTGGGAAAAATATTTACATTCCATATTATGAACAAAGGATTAATTTTCCCGCAGCATAAAGATTACCTCCTAGAAACTACTAAAAATACCAACAACCCAGTAGGAAAATGAAGCAAGGACACAGATCCCAGCACATGAAATACATTTGGCCCTTCAAAAATTAAAAGCAGCTCAGTCTCCTATAAAGATAAAGGAAGAGTTCCTAGAGTTCCCTTGAAAATCTAAGTCAGATCTTTTCTACTTTCTGGCTTAAAACCTGCCAAGGACTACCTATCTACTTAGGTGTTCATGTTTTTTATTGACATGGAATCAAACTGTCCTGATTTGTTAGCCATGTTTGCTTTTTTTCCTACATCAAAATTAGTTTTGAGAATCTAGTTAAACTGAAGCACCTATTTGTTGTCCTTCCCTGCCACTAACTGTGCAGTATTTCATCCTGTAAAGAAGCCACAACTGATATATCAATGAGGCTGTTCTGGTTATTTATGAACTAACCTAACAGCTTTGCCCCTGCCCCACATGAATGTGTCCTAGGAGAATACAAGCTTAGAAGTGGTTTCACAGTAGTGACTTTCAACATTATTCAGTTTGCCTCTTCAAACTTTCACACCTAACAAAGCTAGAAACATGCAAACCAGAGAAATTTTAAGGAGCAGGGATTAGTTGGGGTGGGAATAGGGGCAGGGGCAATCTGTGAAGGAAGAAGGCCTGAGATAAGGCAGCCACACCAAAGAACAGCTGTGCTCACTGCCCGCCTCTGGTCACAAGTCAGGCAGACTCAGGCTCCAGCTGCTTGAGTTTCTCCTGGAGCTCCTGGAGTTGGCTTCGACCCCAGTCGATCCGGATCTGAAGGCTGGCCATGTCTGCAGCCAGCTGCAGGCCTAGAGGAAGAGAGAAGATTGTCACCATGGTATCCTCGATGTGACACATGACTCAGGGGGCTCTGAATATCTCCAGGTACTGGAAAGGCTCCAGAACTTTCTAGAACTATTCCTAAAATATTTCAAGAGCCTTGCATTGGCTGCTTCAGAACCTCACTAGACCCACACCCTCACCTCCTTCAGATCTTTACTAAAATGTCACCTCTTCAACAGACTTTCTTTACTCCCTTATATTACCCATCAGGGACTAAAAAACACTGTTGCATGCCCTCATTTCCTTCCTTCTTTCCTTCATTATAATAGTCCTTCACTGTTCTCGCCCTCTCTCTTTCTGTTTTCTCTGCCCCCAGGAGTATTCCACATTCTGGATCCACATCTAGGTAGCTTTTGCCTGATGCTTCTGCTTAACAGTCTTCTGGGCCCTCCGTGCCCAGTCCACTCGCCAGTTCAGTCTTCAGCCTACCTGCCTGACAGCAGAGCTGGCCACACATCTGCTCACCTCCCTCCAGGAAGCACTTTCTCCTCTTGGCTTCTGGGATCTCTCATCCTCTGCTTGTTGCTCCTGCCTCACCACTACTTCTCAGTCTCCTCGAGTGGTTTCTCCCCTTCCTCCTCCCACCTTCTGTCCACATTTTGAGGCCCTCTACTGATCTTAGCTTAAATGCTGTGTATGTGTCAGCAACTTGGGAGTTTAAACACGAGTGTTATGCAGTGGGCTCCTAAATCTCTCTTTCCAGCCCAGGTCTCCTCCAAACTCAGATGCATGTGCCCAGACACCCGAGCACAGTCTCCACCACACAGCACTAGGAACTACTCTCACCCAACTCCTGACTTACCCTTGGCTGCAGCTCTCTCACACCAGGTGAGGGCAACTTCATTCCCTCAGGTGTTCCTGCTGGAATCTGTGGGCTCAAGCTTCATTCCTCTCCTTCCCTTACTCTCAAATTGATCTGTCAGTAAATCCTGTGGCTTCTATTCTCAAAACATGCAGGTTCCCATCACTTACCCTCTCCTTCACTGCCTCCACCTGCATCTCAAGCCTGGCTGCTCCCCATCACCTGCTTCCTCCCTCTGCTCTTGTCTGTTCCCACCCAGCACCACAGTCTTCCTATCACTCTGTGGGTCCAACTGTGCCCCCCTCTCTTCAGAGCCACCCATGACTCCCAAAGTCCTCATCAGGGCCTGTACCTCAAATCACCTGAGCCCAGCCACCTCTGACCTGAGCTCCTGGCACTCCCTGCTACATAAACTCCACTCCAACCCATTTGGCCTCCTCTCTGCCATCCTAAACATGATCTCACCTCAAAGCTTTTGCCCTGGCTGGTCCCTCTGCCTACAGCACTGATCCCCCAGATCAACCACAAAGTTCTCTCCATCTTTTCAGAGAGGCCTTTCCAGGCCACCCTTCGTAAAATAGGTACCCTCACCCACTCCTGTCCCACTCCATCCACCATACCCTATCTTATTTTTCCATAACAATTCTCACTACCTGGTATTATATATGGGCCTACTTATTTATTTGCATGTTTTCATTCTCCCCTCAATAGAATAAACATTCCATGAGGGGTGTTTATCTCTTTTGTTTCCTGCTGTATCTCCAGCACCTAGCATGAGCCTGGAACACTGCCAACAGCCAGTAAATGCTTTTTGGAAAAAACAGCAGGTGTGCAAAAAAAGCCTGCTATGGATAAAACCTGGAAAACCCTTTGCAGATTAACCCCAGCCAGGCATGGCTTTAGTACTCAAGTTCTTCCTGCAGATAGAAGTCTACTCACCCTCCCGGAAGCTGGCTTGGGCATGACGCAGACTGTGAGGAACGAGGATTCCAAACCAGTTCAGAGGGTCCCGGGGGGCTGGGGAGGACTCCAGCTCTGGGGTTCTGGTGAGACCCTTGCGCCTGCGCAAAGCTGGAGAAAGACAGACTGGAGGCTGAGGGTCTCGTTACCTGCGCTTGTCTTCTCTGTGACAATGTTGAATTTGATCTGAGCTCATGTTCCTGACAAACACTGAAGGCTGGAAAATCCCTCCAACCATTTATGTTCCAGAAAACAGCTTACCACAAAGAACAACCCTTCCCTTTGTGATTCAGATGAGATGCCCAGACCACTCCTCATGACTCTCACAAGATCAGCAGATGACCCCCTTGTTTACCACAAGGTAAACAAGGAGCCACACACTGACTTTTCCCATTTTGCCTGAACATGCTGAAAGGCCAGACAGACCCTCCAACTTCCCGTTCGTCTCATAAATGATTGAGATTAGAAGTTTGTCCCTCTGAAACCAGACATATAAACATTTTCTGTTCAACTGACTGAAGTTTCCCCCAATTGCAAAACTATCCCAACTGTAAAGGACATCACCTATAACTTGTCTATTTCTCCCTACAGAAGTCTAAAGCAAAAACAAAAACAAAAACAAAACTAAAAACAGCCTGCTGAGACACTGTGATCCTCCAATCTGGGCCGCTCTCTCCATCGCAACACTCTTAATAAAATCATCTCCTCAATTATCGTGTACATTTTGTTTTTGACATCGGGAGGACGCCCTGACGGGAAAAAAGGGGGACTCACCTGCTTCACGGGGCCCCACCTCTTCTGGAGTCTGGGCGCTGGCTCTCACCACCCAGAACTTCTGGAGTCCGTCCTGGGCCTCGCTGAAGAACGAGAAGGTAGGATCGACATTTGGAGGCCCCAGCCTGGACCCTGCCCGCCCACCCGTTCCAACATGCACGGCTCCTCACCTGATGTAGACGCAGACCTGAGGCTCCATGCGGGAGGCATACTGCAGAGGACCTACAGATTTGGCACCCATGGCATAGCGAGCTTTAGAGAGCGAGAGCCAGCCCTGGGATACGAGGGGAACGATGAAACTCAGTTTACCTCCGCATGCCCGCCCATCCCTCCCTCCCCAAGATCCCACCTCTTCCACCCGAGCGTTCAATGCCGCCCGCTTCGCCTCCAGTTCTTCCAGGTCCCGGAGCAGTTGCAGAAGGAGCGAGTCCACCTGCGCCCTTACGTCCGGCGCAGCCATGGGCCCACGGTACTGAGGTCTGGTACCAGCCTCCTCACAGGTTGCCCAATCGCCGCTCGCCATACCGCCATGACAACCAATAGGCTCACCTTAAAGGGGCGTTCCCAGCCGTGGGCCGAGTTGCCCAACGATTCCAAAGGCAAGCGCTTTTGGGAACAGCGACCCAGAATTGACTAGCTGTGTTCTCCGAAGGGTGTAAGGCAACGGAACAGTCGGCTAGAGCTGGCTAGAGCTGTGGGTGGTTCCGAGTCGCTTTAGGAAGAGGCCGCATTTTACACTTGAACTTGGCCAAAAGGCCGAGAAGCGATAAGAGGCCGCATTTTAATAGTAGGGCAATAGCTGTGGTGATGGAAGAGGTATAGCTGTATGGCAGCCATTTTAAGGGAGAAAATGCTTTAATTCCAGGAGCCGGTAGGCAAGCCTCCAGTCAACCGCTATGCTTTTACAGTTGCTGGGTCATTTCGAACCGCCAGTTATGATTACTCTAGCGGTTCATCATCTTAAAATTGGGCATCCTGCACAGCAGTGATAAGTAATGAAGCCAGGCACCGACATCTTTAGTAAGGGCGGTCCTAGCGACGTGACAAAGTTTTGACGCCAGCCTATTGGCTGTTCCAATAAGCATGCGCCTCCAGATTGGCCAATCGCCTTGCGACTCCCAACCCACCCTCCGTCATCTTAACATTGGGCACTCTCGACAGTAGCAGAGTGTAGCGAAGCCTCCAGCGACCATCTTGGTTGAGGGCAGAATCGAGGGTGGTGTTGCTTACGCTGCCCCGGCATTCTCCTGGACCCACGTGGAAGTCGCGCTCAGGATGGTAGGAGGGATGTTTGAGCTCCTGTTTTTGATGTTGGGGACTCGCGCAGGGCTGGGGATGATTCCTAGGCTTGGGGGTTGGTAAGGCTGGTGGCCACCGGGCCCGGCTGTGCGTGGCGAGAAAGAGGCTGATCCGACCCTCTGTTCCCTAGCTGCGTCGTGAGGCCCGCCTTCGCCGGGAGTACCTGTACCGCAAGGCCCGCGAGGAGTCGCTGCGAACCGCCCAGGAGAGGAAGGAGAAGGTTCGGCGCGCCCTGGAAGGTAGGCACGTCTCAGCCCCCCCAGCGGGGGCGGGGGGCGGGGGGGAGCTCTAGACCTGTCGTTATAAAAGACCATTGCGGGCGCCTGGGTGGCTCAGTCGTTAAGCGTCTGCCTTCGGTTCAGGTCATGATCCCGGGATCCTGGGGTCCAGCCCCGCATCTGGCTCCCTGCTCCGCGGAAAGCCTGCTTCTCCCTCTCCCACTTCCCCTGCTTGTGTTCCCTCTCTCGCTGTCCCCCTATCTGTCAAATAAATAAATTAAAAAAAAAAAGACCATTTGTTTGCATTTTAAAATCTAACGGAGTAAAAGACCAAATGGTATAAAACGCGTTTATATTAGCATTTCTTAGTGTTTGTGTGGCTGAGCATCCTTTCAAGTATTTACTGGCCTTTTTCCTTGTCTTTTGTCTTTGCAAATGTCCCTTCCGTGATGCTATAAATTTCATATCTTGTCGTATATGCTGCGGTGTCCAGATTTTACAGTTTGCCTATTAGTTTTGTTTATAGTGTATTTAGTTCTTCCCAAATTTTAAATTTTTACGTTGTCCTATAGATGTTCTCCCTCCCGCACCTACCCCCATTGTTTTTTGGTGTTTTTTTTTGCTACCTTCTTCAGTACAAAATAACAAGAATATCTTACTGTCTTTTTAGCGTTATTATGATTCCGTTGTATTTTAAAAGCATTAAACTGTTGAGAATTTAATTTTATTCGACTTGTGAATTAGGATCTAACTTTGCAATATTTTCTCCACTTTTTATTTGTCATACTAATGAACAGTGATAGCATGCCTGAATGGAAATGTTATATTTATCCCTATTTTCTTGGTTCTTGTGTGGGTTCTTGTGTAGAACTTTGTTTCCTATCTGGATGGTACATCAGCTTACTACCTCTGATTATTTTATTTTATTTTATTTTAAAGATTTTATTTATTTGAGACAGAGAGAATGAGAGATACAGAGAGCACATGAGAGGGGGGAGGGTCAGAGGGAGAAGCAGACTCCCTGCCGAGCAGGGAACCCGATGCGGGACTCGATCCAGGGACTCCAGGATCATGACCTGAGCCGAAGGCAGTCGCTTAACCAACTGAGCCACCCAGGCGCCCCCTCTGATTATTTTAAATTCACTTTGGTTTTCTGTGTTTTAAACATATAAAGTGCATGTGGTATGTGAGTATATGTTTACCTTAAGCGTTATGTTAAATACCTGTGACCTATCTGCCCACATTATTAATAAAAAATGCTCAATATATTGAAATTCAAGAATATTTTCCCCAACTCAGATAACCACAATACAGGATACTGTTTAAAAATTAGCCATTTCCTTGCTTTTCTTTGTGCTTTTATCGTACTTGTTTGTATCCCTAAATCATACGGGTTTGGTTTTCAGTTTTCAAAGTAGTTATTAGGTTGTATGTATTCTTTCCCAGCTTTATGTTTTCATTCAGCATTGTTTCTAAGATCTATTGAGTGTAGTGGGGGCTCCCATTTCCCTGTGCTTGATGTTGACCTCATTTTTTAGTCTGGGGCAGTTAGGAACAGCATTGGTGCTATGAACCTTCTCTTCCATGTGCAAAAATTTCTCCAGGGCATATTGGAAAGACCTGCTGGTTCCAAGGGCATGTTCATATTGAGCTCTGTACTCCAAAGTGGGCATGCCCACAGCCCAGCCCTTTTTTAACCAAGTCTAGCTTTAGTTCACAGAGGAAACCTCTGACCCAAAGCATCAGGTTTAGCAGTTTTGTTGTCAGAGGGTTTCAGGGTTTCTGGTCCACCTTCATACAGAAAGAGCACTCTGTATTTGTTCTTTTAAAAATTAGTTTGTTAATTTTTTTCTAATTACAAAAACAGTATATACTTGCAACTAAATATTTTAGAAAGCCCTAAAACCATGAGACTCAGGAACCATAAAAAATGAACTCTCCTGTAACCATTATTAACAGGTTGGCATGTAGACAAAAGTAGTTTTGTCTCTGTCTTCCCCCTGCCAAAAAAGTTGTGTATCACCTTTCTGCACAGAAAGGAGTGAAAAGGATACTTTCTAATAAAGTCTACAGTTTTTGTAAGCCACAGTGTTATATAAACTGAGGGCTCCATGCATGTGTCTTACTCAGCCCCTCTGTGTTCCCCCTGCAGAGAATCGCCTGATTCCCACCGAGTTACGCAGGGAGGCTCTGGCCTTACAGGGTTCCCTGGAGTTCGATGACGCCGGCGGTGAAGGTAAACTTTCCTGACACTGGGCCAGCTTCTCCCCCTGCACTTGAGCCTGCTGGCTTCCGTCTCATTCCGCAGACACCTTGAAGGAAAGGCTGTGGAGCTCCTTCTTGCAAAACTGTCTCCCAGATGCCCTCATGACTCTGCACAGATGGCACCTCAGGAAAGCTCTTTCTTAGTGCTCCCAGTTTCGTTTATATAACATACAGTATTATCCCACTTACTCTGTTTTGTCTGTTAATTGCCCCCCTTACTAGAATGTGAACTCTGCTGAGGCAAGACCGTGTCCGTTTTGTTCACTGCCATGTCCCCAGGTCCCAGCTCTTCATTAACACCCAGATGTTTCATTCATTGCATTATTCAATAAATATTAAAGGTATCACAGACTTTATGAATTTTTGTTATGAGGGAAAGGAGTCTGTTACCTTTGGCCTTAACAGAATCTAGACTTGCGCTTAGGTGGTAGCCATTAGCCCTCTGTGATAAAAAAATAAACTAAAATTAAATCAAAATTAAAAATTTAGTTTGTCAGTCATACTTGGGTTTATAGCCAATGTGGCTGGGGAGCCACCCTCTTGCTCCGTGCAGATATAGAGCATTTTATGTTCATCGTCGAAGGTGTTGTCAGACAGTGCTGCTCTAGACAGATTCAGCCACCCTCAAGTTAGCATTTTATTTCCCAAGACAGTGTCTCGTTGTTGCCTCTCATGCTCTGACAGGTGTGACCAACCACATGGATGATGAATATCGATGGGCAGGGGTCGAGGACCCTAAGGTCATGATCACTACCTCCCGAGACCCCAGTTCCCGCCTCAAGATGTTTGCAAAGGTACCAGTAGTGGGAAGTGAGTGGGAGGTGCTAAGGCACTAGTGGCCCCAGTCCTAACTCGAGTTCATGTACAGGAGCTGAAGTTGGTGTTCCCAGGTGCCCAACGCATGAACCGTGGCCGGCATGAGGTAGGGGCACTGGTGCGAGCCTGCAAAGCCAATGGTGTCACCGACCTGCTGGTTGTCCATGAGCATCGAGGCACACCTGGTAATACTGTGGGTGGGAACAGGGTGTCTGCTGGGGTGGTTGTCTGAGAGCAGATAAGGTTTCTGACGGCCCGCCTGGCCCCACCAGTGGGGCTCATTGTTAGCCACCTGCCCTTCGGCCCTACTGCTTACTTCACACTGTGCAATGTGGTCATGCGGCACGACATCCCTGACCTGGGCACCGTGTCCGAGGCCAAGCCTCACCTCATCATGCATGGCTTCTCCTCCCGACTAGGCAAGCGGGTGAGTCTGGGTCCACGGGGTGATGAGGGCTGGGGGCACGGAGTTCCCGGCTGGGCATTTGCCACTCTCCTTCCCTCTGACCCAGGTCTCCGACATACTCCGTTACCTGTTCCCTGTGCCCAAAGATGACAGCCACCGGGTCATCACCTTCGCGAACCAAGATGACTATATCTCCTTCCGGTAGGTCCGTGGGCTGGCCTCAGAATAGTGTCCTGACCTTTGTGTCCCACTGCTGTTTGTTACTGACCCACATCTGCTCCCTGTCTTCCATTACCCGTGCCCTGCCTCCCCTTGCCTCAGGCACCATGTATATAGGAAGACCAGCCACCGCAGTGTGGAGCTGACCGAGGTCGGACCTCGCTTTGAACTGAAGTGTAAGTCTGGGGCTTCCCTGCCCTTCTGGTGGTGGGGGGTGCTGGCGGCATAGGTGGCAATGTGTCCATCTCCGCCCCCCAGTGTACATGATCCGCCTGGGCACGCTGGAGCAGGAGGCCACAGCCGACGTGGAGTGGCGCTGGCACCCATACACCAACACGGCACGCAAGAGGGTCTTTCTGAGTGCTGAGTGAACCCGCTCGCTGGTCAGGACGTGGGCCTGGACCCAGGACTCGGGGAGCGGTCAGAATAAAGTCTGTGTGCCACACCAGCCCCTCTGCCTCTGTGTGGTCAGGACAAGCCCACTGTCAGGCTGAGTGTGAGAGACAGTTTCCACTGGGTCTTCTTAGGTGGGGAGCTGACAGCTCAGAGACATTTGCAGGTGTGCTGTTGACATTGTGCCTAGGACAAGGCAGGCCCAACCTGCTGGCTTGCCCCTTAGCCATAGCCAAGGTTTGGGAGATTTGGTGTTGCTGTCACTTGGGAGTCAGGGGCCCTGTGAGAGCCCATCTCAGACTGGAACTGGTATGTACCCAAAGACCTTGGTTTTACACAGAACATGTATCAGGACCCTACAGCATGCCCCCAAGTTGACGTGGAATGGGGTATAACATTAAGTAAGAAAGTGATCACACCACTTGGGGCAGGCCTATGAAAAAACAACTCAGGCAGGGGGATGGAGAGTGGGGGAGACCTCTGCAGATGCCCTGAAAGCTACAGGATGGCATGAAGCAGCAGGGACCACCTGGATGACCCATGCAAAGACCCTGAGGTGGACGTGCTCATAAGGGTTCCGGGAGCAACAGTGGCCTAGTGAGAGGAGTCTTGATGGAGAACAGGCAATAGGACTTCACAGGGATGTCTGTAACTTCTGGCCTCACTCATGTGAATCTAGGGCCTTCCGGAGCCTCTCTCACCTTGACATAACCTCAGCTCACAAATGAAGGATATGCCACTAAAACTTTTATGCAAGTTATGGAAATTCCAAAATACATACAAAGTAGAAGTAGTATGATGTTTATATTAGTTTTCTGGGACTGCCAAAACCGACTGCCACAAACTGGGTGGCTTAAAACAACAGATTTATTCTCTCGCAATTCTGGAGGCCAGAAGTCAGATCAAGGTGTTGGCTCCACTCCCAACCCCTCCTCCATTACTTGCCTCTTCCAGCTTCTGGTGGCTACTGACAATCCTTAATATTCTTTGGCCTGTAGTTGCATTGTTGTGGTTTCTGTCTGTCTTCGTCTTCACGTGGTCTTTCTCTACTGTCAAGTTTCCTCTGTGTGTCTCTTATAAGGACACCTGTCCTTAGATTTATAGCGCATCAGAAAATCAAGGATGACCTCTTCATTTAAAGATTCTGAGCTTAATCACATCTGCAAAGACTTTTTGTTTTTCCGAATAAGATCACGGGCTCCAGGAATTAGGCTGTGGACATATCTTTTGGGGCCACCATTCGTCTGACTACACGTCCTCATTCCTCACTTTCAATAGCTGTGGGGCTCCTGCCCATCCTGTTTACTGTATCCCTCTGTACCTCTTGCAGACATCACAGGCATGAGGATGATGCTCCCCTGTTTACTCTGAGCATCCTCATGGTGAGCACCATGAGGCCTGGGGCTGCATTCACTATTTCACAAGCCTAGAGCAGGCCCTTAGTCACTAGTGTTTTATTTTATTTTATTTTATTTTATTTTATTTTATTTTATTTTAAGATTTTATTTATTTATTCATGACAGACAGAGAGAGAGAGAGAGAGAGGCAGAGGGAGAAGCAGGCTCCCAAGGAGCAGGGAGCCCAATGCGGGACTCGATCCCAGGACCCTGAGATCATGACCTGAGCCGTAGGCAGACGCTTAACCATCTGAGCCACCCAGGCGCCCTGGTGTTTTATTTTTTAATAACAGCACAGAAGTCTCAGAGCAGGCCTTTGTGCAAACTATTCATTTTATTGTGGCTTCCACTGCTAAAGAAGTCTTTGAGTGTAATTCTTTCAAGTTCCTCAGAAGTCAACACACTTGGCCTCATCAGTAGTGGGGGCCTTTATGAAAGACGTTGGGTCCACGTTTTGCTCATCAGCTGTGTTTAGCCATTGGATGTGAATGGTATGTACTGTCAAATGATACTGGGGGAAACAGGACCCCTCATACTGTGCTGGTGGAAGAACCTGTAGGTAAAGGATTTTCAGATGGCAGTTTGGTAGAGTTTCTTAGCATTTAAAATGTTCTACTTCTTGAGTCACCATCCTAGGGTCAGAAGTGGTCACTGTGATGCTGCTGGGGACAGCTTAGCCACAGCTTTGCCTGGATGTTTGAGCAGGGGAATTTGTAGAGTGAGTCAATAAAATAACAGTAATTAAAGCACGAAGTAAGTTGTGGGAAATGTCCACTGTAGTGCCGTGTGTATTGCACAGATAATATCCTGAGGACTCACAGGGAGCCTTGGATTTGAGGCTTGGTACAGTGCTTAAAGGGATATTTATGCATCTTTTATTTGACTTTTTTGGGAAGAAATCAGTTCTTTTATGGTTTTGAAATGTGAAGGACAAGGGAGGAGACAGGAGTGGGCGTGGGCTTTGGTGTGTACCATTTGGAGCATTTCCTCTGGCCAGAGAGCAGTGGCCCAGGGAGAGTAGAGGGCTTTTGTGACCAGGAAAAGCCCTGTGTCATGTCTGCAACTGATTTTCGTGTTCTAGTATTCTCAGTATTCAGAAATATTAGCATGTGGGGAATCCAAGTTAAGGGCATGAGAGATCTGTGCCCTGTTTTTGCAACTTTTATATAAACATGACATTTCAAAAGAAAAGTTACAGAAGTTTTGGGGCGCCTGGGTGGCTCAGTTGGTTAAGCAACTGCCTTCGGCTCAGGTCATGATCCTGGAGTCCCGGGATCGAGTCCCGCATCGGGCTCCCTGCTCGGCAGGGAGTCTGCTTCTCCCTCTGACCCTCCCTCTCATGCTCTCTGTCTCTCATTCTCTCTCTCGCAAATAAATTAAAAAAAATTAAAAAAAAAAAAGTTACAGAAGTTTTAAAAGAATTACTGCTAATCTATTGGGTAACAATATAACATTGGAGTTCCTTTAGAAAATGTTCTTAGTTTTTATATATAGTGAAGTATTTAGGGGTGAAATATCAGCCTGATACTTGTTTGAAAATGCTTCAGCGGAGGGGGAAAAACTGAAGCAAAATACTAATTGTCACATTTAGGTGATGCAGACGGGGGTTTGTTACAATATTCTTTCTACTTTGATATGTTTTAAGTTTTTTACAGTAAAGGATTAAAAGGAAAATAATTACAAATGTCTGCTGTTGTTATTAAAGCATTTTTCATATTGTTAAGTTGTTAAAAATCTTCAATAAAATGGTTGAGGTGTGAAAATAAAAGGGAACCTCCTTTACAATAAAATTGGAAAGCCAGCAGGGAGCGATCTCACGCCCTACCACTCCTAAACTCCATTTGCAGACCCAAATGGAAGAGAAACCTTGTAAGTCCTTGCTACTTTAGCTACTACTTTGGTATCCCAGCAGGAGAAAGAAAGGTTTTCTACTCCGGCAACAGCCCCGCCAATGAGAGACTGTCACAACTCAGCCAATGAAAAGCCACTATACTTTGAACTCCCAGTTTACTCTAAGGGACTTTTTGTTTATAACAGCCCTCCCTACTTCTCACTTTCCTCTGTAAAAGAGCATTCCTCTCTTTTGTTCTCTGGACTTGCCTATGGTTTTGCCTTACCAGGCTTGTCTTGGATTGCAGTTCTCTGCTATTCCCAAATAAACCCATTTTTTGCTGGTAAAACAACTGCCGGTTTTATTTTTAACGTTGACAAAGGAGACGTGCCAACCATTAATGGTGGTTGAAAGCCATTGAGAGTTAGGGCCAAAGGGTGGTGGTAAAAAAAGAGGAAAGAGAATGTGTTCATGGTACAAAAAATAAGTGAAAATTCAAGCACAATATGAGGTACATTTTAGGCATTGGTCCACCAAACTGGTTGCAGTGAACATCTTGCCCACTATCCCTTATTCTTCCCCTAGGGTACACTCCTAGAAGTGGAATTTCTGATCCGAGGAGATGTGCAAGTCTAAACCTTTTGATATTTACTACCAGAAAGTTTATAGCAGGAGACTGTTTTTATCAGATTGGCAAAGATGAGGAAGGTTCAATATGGTCCATAAAGGTGTAGGGAGTTTTGTATAATAGATGTAAAACTGTGGGGAAATTTTATAATTTCTACTTTGATCCCATAGCCAGACCTAGGAATGTGCCCAACCTGCACACCATGTACACAGTGGTCACCGTGCAAGGATCTGTACCGTTGTCTGTAGCAGCAAAAGCAGGGAAACAGCCTGGATGTCCATCAGTAGCACTGAAGTTACATAAATTAGGATGTATCCACAGAGTGGAACACTGCAGCCACTGAGCACCTCAAGATAAAGTGTTGAATAAAAAGCATGATGACATGCCATATATGATATGCTACCAGTGTGCAGAAGGAACGGGGAGGGCCTTGTGCTGGTATATGAACTGCATTATCTCCAGGAGGGTAAACATTCAACTGGTGCCTTGCAGGAGGGAACGGTGCGCCAAGGATCCAGGGAGGAGGGAGAATTTAGTGCTACTGTGGGTAGACATTTCATTTACTTGTTGACCACTTGTGTGAGCTCCCATCTGGATTCTCTGCCCAGTTTTCTTTGGAGTGCAGGGAAGACACTTTGATTTTGTCTGATTGGCTTCAAGAATTTGAAGATGTTGTAAATACTTCTCTAATACTGATACTTCTTTAAATTACAAAAGTAACACACCCTCAAGTTAAAAAAAACAACAGAAATGCACAGTGAAAAATAAACCACCTTCCTCCTTCCTGTGCCCCCAACAATTCCACTGTACTCTCCAAAAGCTATGGACTATTGACTTAAAAAAAGATATATATGGCCAGATGTTTTCTCTTCATGGTATTTTTTAACCCCAAAATCATGCTGTATACACCATTCTGGAACTTCCTGTCTTTCCCTTTAATGATCTCTTTCAGCTGCCTCTAGGTTATCAAGGGTATCCAGTACACGTGGATCCACCTCCTATTTAATACCTGCACATTTAAGTTGTTTTCTATTTTTACTACCAGAAACCTTGCTTCAAGAACATCATTGAACATACCTTTGTGTATACTTATGCGAGTATATCTGATGAATAAATTCCTCTGAGTGGAATGTTGTCTTTAAAATGATCATAGATGCTGCTGAATTGTCCTCCGAGAGGCTGTCCTGGCCACTGTCAGTAGATCTGAGTGCCTGTTTCTGTGTCCTTGCTGGCACTTGGTACTATCAGACTTTTCATCTTGGCCAAGCTCTAGGTGCAAAATGGTTCCCCAGCTGAATTTGTATTTCTTTAATTATGATGGAGGTTGTGCATCTTTTCAAATACTATTGGCCATTTGTATGTGTGTGTTGTCTCTGACCTGTTTGCTCTCTTTCTCTATAGAAATGATTGTTCACCTCTATATTGATTGATTTAAATATTTTAATTGTGCAAAATTTCAAACATACAACAGCAGAGAGGACCATACAGTGAGTCCACGAGCCCACCTCAATGTTGACCAGTCTGGTTTCCTTCATAGCCCCACCTACTACTCCCTATATCCACTCACTTGTTTATTTTGAAGCAAATCCTTGACGTCATGTCATTTCATTCATGACTATTTCTGTATGTGTCTCCAAAAGATAAGGACTCAACAAGAATAACAATACCATTATCACACCTAAAGAACCAATTATTCCAAATATATATTTTATATATTATATATTCCAAATAGGTTATTTCAAATATCGTTAGTGTTGAGTTTTCCCCGATTACAGTATGTTAGTTTGAACTAGGATCCAAATGAGGTCCATTCATTGCAAATGATTGAAAAGTCACTTGTCATTCTTTTTAAATAGCTTTATTAAGATACAATTCACATATCAGACAGTTCACCCATTTAAGGTATACAGTTAAAAAAATATATACAATTAAACTTTTTTATCATTGTCACAGGATTGTGCAACCATCGCTACAATCTAATTTTAGAACATTTTTGTCCCTTCTGAAAGGAACCCCGTACCCATTAGTCACTTCCCATTCCCCTCCAACCATCCCTCCACCCTCAGGCCCTTGTAACCACTAATCTACTTTTGGTCCATATTCTGGACATTTCATACAAATGGAATCCTATTCTGGACATTTCATACAAATGGAATCATACAATATGTGGTGTTTTTTTACTGCCTTCTTTTACTTGGCGTGCATTTTTAAAATTTATCCCTGTGGTAGCATGCATCAGTACTTCATTTCTTTTTACTGCTGAGTAATAGTCCATTGTATGGATATACCATATTTTATTTATCTGTTTATCACTTTATGAAACTTGCGTTGTTTCTACTTTGGGGCTATTATGAATAATGCTGCCATAAGTATTTGTGTATACATCCTAAGTCTCTTTTAACCTATAGGATTCTCTCTCTTTTTTTATTTTTTCTTTGTAATTTATTCAGTTAGGAAGCTGGTTTATTTGTTACAGAGTTTCCACAGTGTGGATGTCTCTGATCTTATCCCTGTTGTGTCATTTAACATTTTTCTGTGCCCTTCTATTTCTTCTGAATTAACATTTAGATCTAAAGTCTCAATCAGGTGCAGGTTTAAATTTTGTTGGTGGGAATACTTGGTGGAGTGTTGTGTGCTTTTACTAGGAGGATGATAATGTGTGGGGTGTCTTTTTTGTGATGGTAGCAGACATTAATATCATTGTTTAGCTCTATTAATTCAATAGCGGTTTGGAACTTGGTGCCTATTTTTCAAGAAATTAATAGATTTTTTTTTCATTACAGTTTCAAATTCATTTTTGCTGGTATATCGGAAAGTGATTTCTGTATGTATATGTGTGATGTGTGTGTGTGTATTATATTTCAACTAGATACCTTATTAAATTTTCTTATAAGCCTTTTTGGTTTTAGAACTCTCTAGCCTGATTATGCATGCCATGTGCCAGTTCCACAGTACTTTTGACAGACCCCCACTCTTGCTTTCTCCTTGCCACAGTGCATTGGCTAGGACTTCAGAACACTGAGCAGTGGCAGCAGCGTAAGATGCCCCCTGCCCTTGCTCTTGGTCTCATTACAGGAATCCTTCCAGAGATGTGCATACTTGCCCAGACATAGATGTGCACTTAACTTCTCTCTGGTTTTATAATTGAGGGGCAGAAAGCAATGGAGAAGATCCATACCTCCCTTTGGTTGTGATGCCATGGGCTCTGCATTCAGCACCCACAGAAGAGCCCTTAGCTATGCAGAACTCCAGCCAGACTAAACTTAAAAGAACGTGACTAGTTGGTCTTTTCCAAATAAAGTGCTGGCTAAGCTAAAGTTGGGTGTGGAAGCTGCAAGCCAAGGATGCAGGGTGACCTGACCAGAGGCCCCAAGATGCTACCAGCATCACTGTCAGAGCATTTGTTTGCCTAAAGCTTACAGCAGTTGGAGCCGTTGGCACAGAGCCCAGGGCTGAGTTTATTTCCTCCAAAGGCATGTACTAGCATCTGGGGCTCACTCTGGGTGATGAAGATACCCAGGCTCTGCCCTGGAAGAGTGGGGCTGGTTGGTATGAACATTTTAAGGATGTAATTTTTTAAAGATGAGGAAGAGGGCTTTCCCCCTCCCTCTGTGAAGCAGAACAACAGGGCAGTTCCCAGTAGTAGAAATCAGCCTCCACAGAGAGGTCATGTGGGTTGGCAGCAGGACTGAGAAATGGTAGGTAGGGTGGCTTTCTCCTTGGGCTGTGTTCCCCCAGTTCTAAGCTGCTGCTTTTTTTCCCAGAAAGGGACCAGGAGGGATCCTCAATTTCAGAACACTGAAATCCAGAACCCCTGAGGAGTTAGGGGAGAATAACAAAAGCCCTCCCAAAGGTAGTTAGCTGCAGTCACTGGTAGGCACAAGCTGCCCCTATTGGAGTCAATGTCCTTTTTCCTGTTTGCTAAGCACCACATTTGTGGATGGACCCACAGGTCAGCCCACCCTGCCTGCAGGTTCTTAACAGAAGTGGTGGGAGAATTTTTTCAAATGTCTTCTGCCCTTTTTGGTCTATCAAAAAAGGAAGCCAGAGAAGAACTGTACAGTAATACTATCGATAGTCTCAAAGTATCTCCCAACAAGCTCCCTGGGTTAAGGTGGTATCTATGTTTCTCCATTATAAAGTTACAGTTTTTCCCTTTGCAACATCTGCTCAGCCTCGGTTCCTCACAGCATTAGGAAAGCTTACCCAAGCACCTTCCAGCACCCAGTTCACTTGCCTCTGTTGAGTGAGCACTATGAGCAGGCAATCAGGCAGATTGGCATGTGGCATGTGGGCATCAGGGTACTTAGGATCTTCAAGGGCAGTGCCCTCTGCTCCCACTTCATGGGATTGCCACCAATAGGGTGAACAAAAGAGCCCCATAGCAGCAGCAAATCCCATTGTAAGAACATGGCATGCAATTCTCTGGGAGGAGGGAGAGGTGGGACAGGCTGGGCTACTGGAGGAATTCCCATGGGTCTCCCCATCCCCCACACCAGCCTGAGCTGAGTAAATTGCAAGCCAGGAGCATTTGGATATCTGGAGAGACCTAGAGGGATAGTCAGCGGGGCACACAAATTAAACAATGAGAGGCAGGCATGGAGTTAGGATGAACGTGCAACCAAAAATATAGCCAGTCCAGCTGGAAGCATGACAGGTGGGCTACAGCCTCAGCCATTCTGTTCATAAGCCATAAGATTTTGAACCAGATAGAAAGATCCCCAAATAGGCAGACACACAGACCCCTGGCTAGACAGACTTCTGGATGGACAAAATCCCAGGGAGACAAATAAGACTCCAGAGGGACAGACAGCCAGATAAATGGACAGATTCTTGAACAAATGGGAAGATACCCAGCCAGACATCCAGAAAGACCTGTGGTCAGACACATGGACACCTTCCTGGCATCAGCCAATTAGGTGATCCCAGGCAACCAAAAGACAAAATCCCTCAAGGACAGACAGACATTACCCCAGCAAAGAGATACCCCACCTACCCAGTCAATTAGCCAGGCAGACCTCAGCTTGACAGGCTTAGCTCCTGCCACAGACCCCAGCCTATGAGAAAGCCAAGCCCTTAGCAAGATAAACATCAACCCGAAAAGCCAGGTGGACAGATAGGTACATCCCCCCACTGGACAAACAGACCCTCAGTCACTGGTCAGAAGATCCCCAGCTAGCCAGACCCCAGCTTCTGGGTCAGCCTTCCTGCCTCCCAGTCACCACCATAGATGACATGGATGGCCCAATGACCCTTCAGTGTTGCATCTGCTCCCCAGGTACCACCAGTTTCCAGTGACCTTTGACCTCCAATGACATCCACTAACACCAGGGTCCACAAAGACATTTCATGATCCCACAGTGACTCTTCCTCATTTACTCTGGTATCCACTAGTCCCTAATGACTGCCATTAGTATCCATGAGTACTCAGACTAAAGAGTGTCCATGACTCCTCCATTGAACATCCATATCTTCTCAAAGTTCCCTGAGACTTCTGTATCCCACCTCCCCAAGTCTCCAAAAACCCATGACCATCCACAAAATCTCAGTGATTTCATTGACATACACTATAGTGCACCGAGCAGGAGCCCTCAATGACCTTCCTTCTTTTGATCCCTCAGTTACTTAAACTACCACTCCAAATCCCAATAGCCCTTCAGCTACTTTCACAGTCTCTCACTGACCTCCAATGGCTGCCAATAACATCTGATGACAGTTGCCCATGAACATCCAAAGAACTCTCACTGACCTCCAATGAATTAACTATAAATGTCCATCCTCAGTGATCACTACTGACCATCTTTGAACTCTTAGAGATGAAACTAATAAACACTGAGTCCACGGTGACCCCACCCAACCCCTCAATAAACAAAACCAGTGATCATCCACTTTGACTTCTGTCACTTAAACCTGGGTCAGTAAACCAGGTTACACAGCCTCAGGCCACACACACAGAAATGTTTTGTGACATGAAAATTACATGAAATTAAAATTTCAATGTCCACAAATAGTTTTATTGGAATATAGCCACACTCATTTCTTTACATGTGGCCTATGGCTGCTTTCACACTGCCATGGTGGAGCTGAGTAGCTGGGACAGACACCAGAGACAGCAAAGCCAAAAACCAAAGTCTTTTGAAAAAAAAAAAAAAAAAAAGAGTTTGCCCATCCCTAACTCAAAAAACAACACTCTAATAATCCATAATTAATTAAATCCACAACCTGAACCAATGACCTTTTTGACCCCTCACTTAAAGTACACCTCACCCCATTGGTTAACCTTTTACACCTCAACGACCTCAAACTGGACTCCACAGACACCCCCTCCAGTGACACCCCCAGAAATTCCTCCCATGACTCCTGGAGCCCTGCTGGGTGAGGGGTGGGCTGGCCCATCTACCCAGGCAGGACCCCTAGGCTCCTCTCCGCTTTCTCCAGCCTCCCCTTGGTGACCCGGGGAACTGGGTCACCAAGTGGTTCTCTTGGCCTTTTCCTGCGCATTTTCTGAAGTTGAGGGTGTGGAGACAGCAAAAAGAGAAGCTCTTTGAAAGCCTTGAGAACATCTTTCCCCCTGGAACCCACTTTGACGGCCTCAGTTCTGTTTCCCTGCAGGTTTATGAGGGTTGAGATCCTTAAATTCAGAAAGGATCCTGGCGCCCCCAGCTCCTCCTAGCCCGACCCAGAAAAAGGAACCTCAGGAAATACAGAGATACAGAAACAGACGCTTCCATTCGGTCTTTCTCACAACGGGGGTGCCCGGGTGTCAGTGCCCCACCCCGCACCCCCCCGCGGCAACCTCAGCAACCTCCCGTGACCTCCCTCGGGCCCCGCCGCCGGAGCTCACAGTGAGGGACGCCCCCAACCCAGGCTCCTCGAGGCAGGACTTGCAGCTGGATCTCCGCGACCATCTCCACTCACAGCTGCCGCGCCGCCTCTCTGGCTCGGATCCCAGTCTATCTCTCAGGGAGACTGGACCTGGGAGGCCAGGCGAGAATGCAAGGCCATCTACCAACGCGGGCCCTTGGAGGAAGGGGCGCGGATCCTGGGAACAAGCAGGAGAAAGCATCCAGCGGATTGTGCGGACTCAGTCAACATGCCCGACGCGCATAAAAAGGGAAGCACCTGCGCTGGACTCAGTTCCCAGGCCCAGCGGGAGAGGACGTAGGGCTCCCGAGGCTGCCTGGGTCCCGGAGCCTGTGGGCGGTACCGGGGCGAGCTCCGAATGTCATTGGCCGAGGGGCGAGCCCTGCCGCCTGTTGCGCGCTTCCATTGGGTTGCAAGATAGGAGGCGGGGCCTCTGCAGCCCGCCTCCGCCTCCAGCTTTCTTGCTACTAGCTGAGCGGAGCGCAGCAGCTGGACTGGACCTCTCTGGCCCACGGCGTCATGAGCCACAACTTGGACGCTGCGCGGAGCTTCTTGGAGCAGTTGAAGGCGCGAGGCGGCCGGGAGAGGGCGATCCTTGCCGGCGAGTTCAGCGTGAGTGGGCGAGAGTGGACGGCCAAACCGCGCGCTCAGTCTCCTGGTCCTGGGCTGTCCGATGTCTGTCCTGTGCGCCCTGCCGCACTTTGCGCCCCCCACCCCCTTTCTCTATGCGTCCAAGGGTGTCTCCTCGCTTCAAGGTCTATTTTTCTCCCCCCCCCCCCCCCGGCACCTCTCTGTCGCTCTCTCCTCTGTCTCTGTCCTCATCCTCTGCCCACAGAACCCCAGAGGGCGAAGTCCACGGCCGGGTTGGGCGGTGCCGCACACGCCCTTGTGTCCCTGTGCCCTCATCCAGCTCCCGGAATAATCCTGCTACTGGGTGGGGCTGGAGACGCCGGCGCAGCAAGGGAAGGCAGGCGCGCACTTGCGCTTGACACCGGTCACCCGGGCCTCTCCAGGCACCCTGGTGATCACTTCTGTGATCATGTGGAAGAAGGGGCTAGGGGAAGAGGAACCAAGAAGCCCCACTTCGGGTGGGGGGGAAGTGGGGTGGTGGTGTGGATGTCGGACTCTAATAGGCGCTGTGACCTAGGGTATTTTACCCGGGTCCTCTGGCGTCAGTTTCTCCTTGGGTAAAACGCGACCTCTAATGACCTGAGGAACTGGTGTGGGTAAAAAAGCGCCTAGCACATCTTGAGTGCTCAGTTTGTAGGATCCTTTGTCACTAGTTATAAATATTCTAAACATTACAATGCCGTGATGCAAGCCATGCGTTAGGAATGCTAATGCAGCGTCGTAGGCATTGGTAGGTGTTACTTATTATCGTCTGATTTTGAATAGCTGATAATGATGGTCATACACTTCACGAATTATAATAATCTAATAGTAACAAAGTATCTGTAATATTTTGTTACATAAGTAATGTTATACATTATAATTCATATACATTGTATATTGTCACATATACATCATCATGTTTGTTATATTAAATACATATTCCATTACAATTATTGTTTACAATACAATGTAACACAGTTTGAGCGTTTAGGGGTAGATGCTGAGAGGTTTGAGTGCAACCCTCACTGTTCCAGTTCCTGGGTGGGACTTTTGGCAAGTCACTCAACCATGTGGTGCGTCAGCTTTCTTACCTACACCATGGGGACATTAATAATAGTACTAACTTTGGGGTGACCTTGTAATGATTCAGTGTCATTAGCACAGAGCCTGGCATAGACAAGGTGCTCTGAGTTGCTATTACTATTGTATCACTACAATTACCCAGGCACCATGCTATCTAAGAGTCTGCATTCACCTCTCACAGGCCATGTACCTTGTATCCCTACAAGTGCCTCTGTGCCCCAGAACTCTGACCTTGCTCCTCTCTTCCTCTCTCCTCCCTTTCCCGGGTCTGCTAATGGTGCCTTCCGCCAGGACATCCAGGCCCGCTCAGCCGCATGGAAGACTGACTGTATGTGCTCCACTGAGGCTGGCAGTCTGCCAGGGAATGTGAGGAAGAACCGCTACAAAGATGTGCTGCCCTGTAAGTCGGGGTCTTCCAGAGGGAGTCAGTGAGGCTCTGCACACATTCTCCATCCCATGGCAGTCCAGTCCATCCCCACTGTGCTCCCAGTGCACTCCCTCTCAGATCCTTGCAATGGCTGCATTTCTCCTGAGCAGCTCACAAGTGCACCCAGGTGGGATCCCTGCTGGGTGTGCAGTAAACCTGCTGGCTTTCATCCAGGAAGCCATCAGGGCTTTGATGCTCCTATCACCCCAAAGCACTTTTCTCACCTCTCCCACTGGCAGATGATCAGACACGAGTGATCCTCTCCCTGCTCCAGGAGGAGGGACATGGCGACTACATCAATGGCAACTTCATCCGGGTCAGGCTGGGAGTCAGGGAAGGGGTGGACTTGGAGGGGGTGACAGCAAGATCTCGGTGATGAACTTAGCCTTTACCAGGGCACAGACGGAAGCCAGGCCTACATCGCCACACAAGGACCCCTGCCTCACACCTTGCTAGACTTCTGGTGCCTGGTCTGGGAGTTTGGGGTCAAGGTCAGCCTTAGAGGACCATGAGGTGGGGCTAACATTCTGAGTCCTCCCTTGGCCTTGTTTCTCCAATTCCCTAACCCAAATCACTCCCCTCTTCCCTTACCCTTCTTGTGTAGGTGATCCTGATGGCATGTCGAGAAATGGAGAATGGGCAGGTAGGTGTCCTCAGCCCTCTAGAATACATTTCCTTGAGCAGGAAGGAGGCAGGAGAAATCTTGCTAGCACCTCCCTAATCCCAGGTCTGAAAGGCCCAATTCTTGAAGTGACTCCACTATTGCTCTAATTTTTTGTTGATCTTTTTCCTTTTATTCATGGTGCTCATCCCTGCAGTGTTCACAAACCCTTTACTGCAGGTCTTCCCAACCCAAGTCTGCATCATAGACTGTAAGGCCCTACACTGAGCTGTCCCTGGTACAGCTCTGATCTCTGTGTTTTTCTGTCTCTCTTTTATTCACTCCACTCTAGCCATTTTGGCCTTTGCTGTTCCTCAGATGTGCCAGGGATGGCACTGTCTCAGGGCCTGTGCCTTGGCTGTTTCCTTTGCCCGGAACATTCTTCTTGGCTTGCTCTACTACCACCTTCAGATCTTTGTTCAAATGCTACTTTCTCCATGACACCTTCCTGGATCTTACACCATTTAAAACTCCCAAGCACTCCCACTCTCCTTCCTGTGTCCTATTTTCCTTCACAGTTCTTACCATTTCTAGCATACAAGGTAATCTACACATTGTTTATTCTCCATCTCCTTGATTAGAAGATAAGTCCAGGAGTGCAGGGATCTCTGTTTTGCCTGTTAGCATAAATTAGTTACTCAAAAAATGCATGTCAGCTTTGAAGGCACATGGTTTCTACATTCTGGCCTATTCAATAGACAGGGTTGGGAAGTGGGGTAAGTACTGCCCAGGGATGAATGGCTGATCATGGAATCTGTACAACCTGTAGTGATGCCCCTTTTTCATTCCTGATTTTGGTAATTTGTGGTCTATCTCTCCCATGTCAGTCTGGCTAGAGTAAAGATGAGCAAACTTTACCTATTGTACTAGGTCTGTCTTGCTGCCTTTTCTTGTAAATAAAATGTTTTAAAATACAGCCACACTCATATGTTTAGATATTGTATATACCCACTTTCATGCTACAATGGCAGAATTCAGTAGTTGCAAGTTGGGTGGATTGAATGGCTCACAAAGTGTAAAATACTTATTATCTGGCCCTATTTTATAGAAAATGTTAGCCATCTCTGGGCTAGAGGTTTGTCAATTGTTGTTGTTGCTGTTGCTGTTGTTGTTGTTTTTTAAAGAACCAGCTTTGCGTTTTATTTTTCTCTATTTTTTCTCTTATATTTCTGTATTTTTTTTCATTTCTTATTTCATTAATAACTTTTCATCTTTTTCATTTCCTTCCTAATGTTATTTAGGTTTAACACTCCTATTTTTCTAGCTTCTGAAACTTAGTTCATTGATTTGAGATTTTTCTTTTTTCATATATAAGCATTTAATGTTATTCATTTTTCTCTAAGCACTGCTTTAGCTACATCTCACAAACTTGATAAATTGTATCTTCTTTTTCAATTAGTTCAAAATACTTTCTAATTACCCTTGTGATTTCTTCTTTGACTCATGGTATTTGACCATGGTTGTACTTAGTTTGCAAATATTTGAGGACTTTCCCATATATCTTCCTGTTATTAATTTTTAGTTAATTCCACTATGGTCAGAGAACAACTTTGTATGATTTTAATCCTTTTACATATACTGAGACTTGTTTTATGGCTATGAATATGGCCAATCTTGGTAAATAGTCTATGTACACTTGAAAAGAATGTGTATTCTGCTTTTGTTGAGTAGAGTGTTCTATAAATATCAGTCAAATTGTGTCTTTTTTGAAAGACACTTTAATATTTTTGTATCTTTACTGTATTTTATAAATCTTTACTAACTTATTTTCTCTAAATGTTCTATCAATTGCTGAGAGGAGTGATGAAATCTCCAAGTATTCTATAACTGCCAATTAGGACAAATATTATTCAAATCTTATTGTTCGTATGACTTTTTAGGGGGTCTACTTGCCCTATTATTTGCTGAAATAATGTTGAAATCTCTAATTTTAAAATTATCTGTCTTTTCAGTTCTGTCAGTTTCTGCTTCAGCTATTTTGAAACTCTGTAATTGAGTGCATATACAGTTAGGATTATGTCTTCCTGATTAATCAATCCCTTTTCCAATATGTAAGGTTCCTTTCTATCTCTGGTAATATTCCTTCTCTGAAGTGAACTGTGATATTAATATAGCCATTTAAATTGTGCTAGAGTGTACATATCTTTTTCCATTCTTTTACTTTTTATCTATGTTCATCTTTATTTTTAAAGTGTCTTGTAGGTGGCATATTGTAGGGGCTTACTTTTTAATTTAGTTTGACAATCTCTGCCTTTAATTGGAGTAAATCTACCATCTTTGTTTTCTGTTTGTTCCATCTGTTCTTTGCCCCTTTATTCTTTTCTGTCTTCTTCCAGATTGAGATTGATTGATTGATTGATTGATTGATTTAAGGGAGAGAGAGAGAGCACGAGTGGGGGAGAGAGGCAGAGGGAAAGGGAGAAGCAGACTCCCCACTGAGCAGGGGCCTGATGTGGGACTTGATCCCAGGACCCCAAGACCATGACCTGAGCCAAAGGCAGATGCTTAACTGACTGAGCCACCCAGGTGCCCCCAGATTGAGAATTTTTATGAATCCATTTCATAGTCATTATTTACTTATTAGTTATACCTCTTTGTATTATGTGCTTAGTGTGGCTTTAGGGTTTATCAGTTATATCTTTAATTTGTCACAGTCTACACTCAAATAATATTATACCATTTCATTTAAAATATAAGAACTATACTAGCATATTTCTAATTTCCCATTCCATGCTTTATGTTATTGTTGTCATAGATTTTAATTCTAAATATGAAATATACTCCACAATGCACTGTTATAATATTTTTGCTTTAGATTGTCTTTTTCTTATTTTTTAAAATTTTTAAGTCCAGTATAGTTAACATACAGTGTTCTATTAGTTTCAGTGTACAATATAGTAATTCAACAATTCTAAATATTACTCATTGACCATCATGATAAGTGTACTCTTAATCCCCTTCACCTATTTCACCCATTCCCCACCCCCACCTTCCCTCTGGTAGCCACCTATTTACTCCCTATAGTTAATAGTCTGTTTTTTGGTTTCTCTCTCTTTTTTTTCTTCATTTGTTTGTCTTGTTTCTTAAGTTCCACATATGAGTGAAATCATATGGTACTTGTCTTTATCTGACTGATTTATTTCACTTAGTATTATACCCTCTAGATCCATCCATGTTGTTGCAAATGGCAAGATTTCATTCTATATTCCATTGTGTGTATATATATATATACATATATGTTGCTATTGTATTCCTATTGATGGACACTTGGGCTGCTTCCATAATTTGGCTATTGTAAATAATTCAGCAATAAACACAGGGGTGCATATATCCTTCTGAATTAGTGTTTGAGTATTCTTTGGATAAATACCAAGTAGTGCAATTACTGGATCATAGGGTAGTTCCATTTTTAATTTTTTGAGGAACCTCCATACTGTTTTCCAGAGTGGCTGCACCAGTTTGCATTCCCACCAACAGTGCACAATCGTTCTTTTTTCTCCACAACCTTGCCAACCCTTGATGTTTCTTGTATTTTTGATTTTAGCCATTCTGACAGGTGTGAGGTGATATCTCATTGTGTTTTGATTTGCATTTCCCTGATGATGAGTGATGTTGAGTAAGTATCCTTTCATGTGTCTGTTGGCCATTTGGATGTCTTCTTTGGAGAAATGTCTGTTCATGTCTTTTGTCCTTTTTTTTTTAAAAGATTTTATTTATTTATTTGACAGAGAGAGACACAGCAAGAGGGGGAACACAAGCAGGGGGAGTGGGAGAGGGAGAAGCAGGCTTCCCACTGAGCAGGGAGCCCGATGTGGGACTCGATCCTAGGACCCTGGGATCATGACTTGAGCCAAAGGCAGACGCTTAACAGCTGAGCCACCCAGGCGCCCTCTTTTGTCCATTTTTTAATTGGATTATTTGGTGTTTGGCTGTTGAGTTGAATCAGTTCTTTATATATTTTGTATACTAACCCTTTATCAGATATGTCATTTGCAAACATCTCCCATTCAGTAGGTCGTTTTTTTTTTTTAGTTTTATTGTTTGTTTCCTTTGTATGCAAAAGCTTTGTATTTTGCCACAGCAATCAGATAAGAAAAAATACCATCCAGGGCGCCTGGGTGGCTCAGTCGTTAAGCGTCTGCCTTCAGCTCAGGTCATGATCTCAGGGTCCTGGGATCGAGTCCCGCATCAGGCTCCCTGCTCAGCGGGAAGCCTGCTTATCCCTCTCCCACTCCCCCTGCTTGTGTTCCCTCTCTCGCTGTGTCTCTCTCTGTCAAATAAATAAATAAAATCTTAAAAAAAAAAAAAAAAGAAAATACCATCCAGTGGTATTTTTTTTTCCCACAGCAATCAGATAGGAAAAGGAAATTGGTAAACAAGAAGTAAAACTTTCACTATTTGCAGATGACATGATGGTATATATAGAAAACCCTAAAGACTACCCCCCAAAATTATTAAAACTGATAAATGAATTAAATAAGGTCACAGTATACAAAATCAATGTACAGAAATCTGTTGCATTTCTATACACTAATAATGAAGCAGCAGAAAGAGAATTTAAGGAAACAATCCAATTTACAATTGCACCAAAGATAATAAAATACCTAGGAATAAACTTAACCAAGGAAGTGAAAAACCTATACACTGAAAACTATAAAACACTGATGAAAAAAATTGAAGATGACACAAATAAATGGAAAGCTATTCCATGCTCATGGATTGGAAGAAGAAATATTGTTAAAATGTCCATACTATCCAAAGCAATCTACAGATTTAATGCAATCCCTAAAATACCAACAGCATTTTTCACAGAACTAGAACAAACAATCCTAAAATTTGTATGGAACCACAAAAGATCCTGAATAGCCAAAACATTCTTGAAAAAGAAATATAAAGCTGGAGATATCACAATTCCAGATTTTAAGTTATACTACAAAGCTGGCACAGTATGATACTGGCACAAAAATAGACACATAGATCAATGGAATAGGATAGAAATCCCAGAAATAAACCCATTATTATATGGTCAGTTAATCTATTAATCTTCAACAAAAGAGGCAAAAATATGCCATGGGAAAAAGAGTCACTTCAATAAATAGTGCCTGGAAAACTGGATATCTACATGCAAAAAAAGAAAGAAAGAAAGAAAAGAAACTGGACCACTTTCTTACACCACACACAAAAATAAACTCATAATGCATTGAAGACCTAAATGTGAGACCCAAAACCATAAAAATCCTAGAAGAGAGTATAGGCAGTAATTTCTCTGGCATTGGTCATAGCAGCATCCTTCTTGATATGTCTCCTGAGGCAAAGGAAACAAAAGCAAAAATAAACTATTGGGACAGAATCAAAATAAACAATCTCTTTTAAAAAACAGCTTTATCAAGATGCAATTTATCCATTTAAAGTGTGCAATTCAATTGTTTTTAGTATATTCCAAAATTTAGTATATATTTAGTATATTTAGTTATGCAACCATCCCTGCAATAAATTTTACAACATTTTCATTACCCCACAAAGAAATCCTGTATCCATTGGCAGTCACTCCCCATTTCTCCATCCTAGGTAATCCCTACTCTATTTTTGGTCTCTTTAGGTTTGACTACTCTGGACTTTTCATGTAAACTGATTCATATGATATGTTGTCTTTGTGACTGGGTCCTTTCACTTAGCATGTTTTTAAAATTTATGCATATTATAGCATGTGTCAGTACTTAACTCCTTTTTATTGTTGAACAGTATTCCATTGAATGGATCTACCGCATTTATTTATTCATTTATCGGTTTATAGAATGTGAGTTGCTTCCACTTTTTGGCTATTATGAATAATGCTGCTATGAACATTTGTGTGCAAGTTTTTGTGTAGAAGTATGTTTTCAATTCTCTTGGGTACATACCTAGAAGTGGAATTGCTACATCATATGGTAACTCCATTCTTAATATTTTGAGGAACTGTCAAACTCTTCCACAGCTACATCATTTTACCTTCCAATCAGCAATGTATGAGGATTTGAATCCTTCACATCCTCACCAACACTTGTTGTTGTCTTTTTTTTCAACACTTGTTTTTTTTCAGCACTTGTTATTTGTCTGTCTTTTCCCCATTGAATAGTCTTGTTATCCTTGTTGAAAATCAATTGACTATAAATGTAAGGGTTTATTTCTGGACTCTCAATTCTATTCCATTGATTGGTAGGTCTATCTTTGTACCAGTACTATACATTTTTTATTATTGTAACTTTATAGTAAGTTTTGAAATCAGGAAATGTGAGTCCACCAAATTTCTTCTTTTTTTCAAGTTTGTTTCGACTTTTCTGGGTCACTTGCTGTGCAGAAAAGAGTAATATAGCAGGCTTATGATTAAAAAAAAAAAGACCTTCCTACTAGGTTGGATCTTGCCTGGAAATTGGATTTCTAATAAAAGTGGCTCACTATGCTTGAACTGTTTATATAAACAGTATGGTTTATTTGAACACCTGCCTTCCTTCTGGGAGTCTGAAGTTGTGGTACATACTAGTCAGAGGGTGCCCGTATAACACATGGAGTGCCCCAGTGAATTCCCTGGGCACTGACTGCCTAATGAGCTTTACTGTGGACATTTCACACATGCTGTCTCAAATCATTTCTGGGGAAATTAAGCACATTGTGTGCGACTTCACTTGGAGAAGACCCTTGGAAGCAGGACTCTTGTTTCCTTCATTTTGCCCTGTGCATCTTTTCCCTTTGATTTTTTTTCTGTATCATTTTATTGTAATAAATCATAGCCATGAGTACAACTGTATGCTGAGTCCTGTGAGTCCCCCTAGTGAATCATCAAACCTGAGGGTAGTCTTCAGTATCTATGACACACTCATTAATATTAACATATTAATGTTAAGATCACCTTGCCAATATCTTCAAAAAGCCTTCTGGGATTTTGATAAGGAATGCATTGAATCTATCAATTTGGGAGCTATTTCCATCTTAACCATATTGTCTTCCATTCCATGAACATGGATGTTTTTCCATTTATCTAGGTCTTCTTTAATTTCTCTTAGCAATGTTTTATAGTGTTTAATTTAGTCTTGCACTTTTGTTAAATTTATTCCTAGTTTATACTTCTTGATGTTATTGTAAATGGAGTGATTTTCTTAATTTCATTTTCAGTTTCCTTATTGCAAACCAAATAGTTTTCACTATATAGAAATACAATTGATTTTTGTTTGATATTATGTCCTGCAACCTTGCTGAACTCATTTATTAGCTTTAATAGTGTGGGGGGGGTGTGTGATTATGTGGAAAACTTAGGGTTTTCCATATATAATATGATGTCATCTGCAAATTGAGATAATTTTGCTGCTTCTTTTCTAATCCAATATTCCTCCTTCTGTCCCTCCCTATTTTCCTTTCTCCCTTCCTCCCTCCCTTTCTTCCATTTCTTTTTTCCTAACTGCACTGACTAGACCTTTCTGTACAAAGTTGAACAGAAGTGGCAAGTGCAACCTGATTTTAAGGGCAAAACATTCAGTCTTTCACCATAAGTCTAAGGACTGGTTGTGGGGTTTTTTTTGTAGATGTGTGTGTGTTGTTGTTGTTTTAATCAGGCTAAGGAGTTTCCTTCCATTTCTAGTTTCCCTTGTATTTTTATCATGAAAGGGTGTTGGATTTTATCCAAAAATTTTTTTCTGCATCTATTCAGATGATCATGTGTTTTTGTTTTATTTTCTATTAATATGGTATATGACATTGATTTTTTATATATATACAACCAATCTTGCATTCCTGAGATTAATCCAACTTGGTCATGGTGTATAACCCTTTGCTGGTATTTTGTTGAGGATTTTAATGTCTGTATTAATGAAACATTGGTTAATAGTGTTCTTTTCTTGTGATATATATGTTTAGTTTTCGTATCAGATTAATATTGGCTTCATACAGTATGTTGGGAAATGGTCCTTCAATTTAAAAAAAAATTGTGAAGGATTGCTATTAATTCTTCCTTGTTTGTTTGATAAAATTCACTAGACTGTCTTTTTTAAATGTTAAAAATGAGAAATATTTTTTATATTTAGCTACATATTTGCTTTTTCTTTACTCTTCATTCTTTTGTGTAGATCCATATTTCATCTAGTATCATGTTCCTTTTGTATGAACAGCTTACTTTAATATTTCTCACAGTATGGGTTTGTGATAAATTCTCCCAGCTTTTGTTTGTCCGAAAGTGTTTTTTTTAAATTTCAGCCTTTTTAGAATGTCACAACTTTGACTTCTGACTTGCAGTTTCTGACAAAATTCTGTCATTCTTATCTTTGTTCCTTAATATGTAATGTGTCTTTTTGTGTGTGATGTTTTTAAGTTTCCTCTCTCTCTCCCTCTCTCTCTCTCTCTGGCAATTTGATCATGATCTGCCTTTGTTTGGCTTTATGTTTACTCTCCTCATAGTTGACTTTCTTGGACTTGTGGGTTTGCGGTTTTATCAAATTTGGAAAATTTTCCAGCGATTATTTTTTCAAATATAGTTTCTGTTCTCCCCTCTCTCCTCTCCTTCTTCTGGACTCCAGATACACATACATTAGACCATTTGGTATATTTCTACAAATAACGGATTCTTTGTTCATTTTTTCCCCAGTAATTTTTGAGTTTTTTTTCATTTTAAATAGATTCTATTGCTATGTCTTCATGTTCACTGATCTTTTCTTCTGTGTCTAATCTGCTATTAGACAGTGACTTTTTAAATTTCACGTATTTTATTTTTCCTCTCTATAAGTTCCATTTTGGTATTTTCTCTATCTTTTGTTTCACTTTCATTATGTTCATGTTTTCTTTTTCATCTTCAAGTATATTTAAAATATTTAAAAAAAAACTGTTTAAAGGTCTACTTCTTTCTTCATCCTTATTGGATCTTCTATTCACTTATTTTTCTCCTGGTTATGGGTCATGTTTTCTTGTTTCTTTGTATGTCTAGTAAATTTTTATTGGATGCTTGACATTTTTAATTTTGCAGGTAACTGTTAGATTTTATTGTCTTCCTTTAAAGAGTGTTGGACTTTTTCTGGAAGGCAGTTAAGTTACTTTTGGATGTTTGATCATTTTAAGGTTTGTTTTAAAGCTTTTGTAGGGCAGGTCTAGAGTAGCCTTTATTCTAGAACTAATTTCATTCTACTTTTAACATGTGGTCCTTCTTCGTTCCCTATTGAATGCCCTTATAGTCAGTTGGGTCTCTCCACTCTGGCTGGAGGAATGTAAATTATTTCTATCCCATTATGAACATTATAGGAAATATTCATCTTATAGGTCCTTAGCTATTATTCTTTCGTAGGAAGTTATTCTTGCCTGGCTTCACAGAGTTTCATGATCCTCAGATTATTATTCAGCTAATAATACTCAAAGGAACCATATGCAGACTTCTGAAATTTTTAACTCTTTTTTGCATAGCTCTGTTCTTTCCAGGACTCCAGCTAATAATACTCAAGGGGACCATTTGCAGACTTCTGAAATTTTTAACTCTTGTTTGCATAGCTCTATTCTTTCCACGACTCTGCCCTTCAAATTCTAGCTGCTTTGGCCTCCCTGAGCCATGATCTCTGGCTCCTCAACTCAGTGGGATCATTGGACTCTCCATGTCCTGCAGTAAGCTGGGGCAGTCATAAGATTTGGTCCATGTTTCCCTTCGTTCAGTGATCACAATCCTGCAATACCTGTTGTCCAATGTCTGAAAATAGTGGCTCATATGTTCTGTCCAATTTTTTAGTTGCTTACAGTATGAGAATATTCTGGCCTGTCTTCCTCCTGCATGGTCAGAAGCACAAGTCTCCACTGTGTCTGTGTGTTTAATCTGATAAGGTTCTGACAGCTGGCCTGCATGATAGCTACAGCTATCTGTGCTTCCACCAGCAATGCCTGAGGTATTCTGTGGGGGTGTGGATGTATTGAGCTGGAACTCTAAAGCAGACTACTGCTCTTCACTCCCTGCCCTTTCTCCCTTGCCTTTTGCAGAAAAAATGTGAGCGTTACTGGGCCCAAGAACAGGAACCACTACAGATTGGACTTTTCTGCATCACCCTGGTGAGCTGGGGCAGAGGTGGGAATTGTGTTTTATGAAGTCTTGGATGTTGTGGGAGGTTTCATAGAAGATTCTCAGGGAAGCTTTCGGGCTGGGCCTGAAAGGATGAATAGTTTTCCCACAGTCCCCTCACACTGCAGGGAACCCTCTAGTATTAGCGTGCAATAGCCAGAACTCAATATATACATTGCTGTTGCATTTTAACTATGATCATGGTTATCTCTGTTATATAAATGTGCCTGGTTAGGTTCTTAAAATCCCTATTTCCCTTACCATTTCATAACTCAGGAAAATCTCTTACCTCAAGTCAAATATAGTTGGAACATAATAAGTACAATAAAACTCTTGTAGAATGAAAGAAATATTTTTTCTTTTTTCACTATAAATGAGCTTGTTGGGGTTTTTAATCATAGTTCTTTCTCCCCTCTATCAAATGTTTCCTTCAGGAAAGCCATGGGGGATATTTGAGCTGAATGAATTTTTAAAAATATGTTGACTTTGATTTTTAATCAGAAATGCTTTGTTTTCTGCAAATGTCTTTTGGCACCTGTGGTCTTTGCTCTCCTCTCTCTTCCCACCTGCCCCACATCCTCAGACAAGGGAGACATGGCTGAATGCAGACATCATGCTCAGGACCCTCCAGGTTACTTTTCAGAAGGTACTTAAAGGGAGGAAGAGGCTCCCATATGGGGAGAACTATTTTCTGTCTCTGTTTTCTCATTTGTAAAATGTGCATTAGCAATAGTACCTATCTCCTCAGTTATTATCTGTTGGATTTAAATGGAAGATGTTTAGAACTGGGCCTGACAAGCAGTAGGTGCTCAATAAATGCTTTTTTATTATTTGCCACTCGTTTCCTGTGTTTCAGGAATGTCGTTCTGTGTACCAGCTGCAATATATGTCCTGGCCAGACAGAGGAGTCCCCAGCAATCCTGAACATGTGCTCACCATGGTGGAGGAAGCCCGTCGCCTCCAGGGATCTGGCCCCAGCCCCCTCTGTGTCCACTGCAGGTTTAAGAAATGGGTTTTATGGCGGTCTGGTGAGACAGAGATGACTGGTGGGGGAGTGCAGAAGGCAGGGAGGGCCAGTGCAGGCCTTGAAGCCAGTGTCACAGTTTGAGTGCCTCTTTTGAAAAACCTGAAGCCACACTAGCTCATGCTGTATCAACTGAAATTTAGCATTTATTGAGTGCAGAGTGCCTGCTGGAAGAGTAGTAAACACAGAGTTGATACTCAACAAATGTAAGCAATTAAAAAGTTTTTTCTTCTAATTGTAATCTGGGGATTCTGAGAATCAAAAGGTGCTGCAGGGGATCCTCCATCAGGACCTTCACTCCCAAACCCAAACGCCCCACATAAAAGGGGTTGTGGGCAGGTCCTGACCAAGCTTATGCTTATTCTTGCTTGTCAGCGCAGGTTGTGGGCGAACAGGTGTCCTGTGCACTGTGGATTATGTGAGACAGTTGCTCCTGACCCAGGTATGAATAGGGCATATGTGTGCTTATGTGCAGTGCAGGTCCCATGCCCACCAGGTCCTGTTCATATGCCCTCTCTGCCCCAGATGATCCCACCTAACTCTTCAACGTGGTCCTGGAGATAAGAAAGCAGCGGCCTGCAGCTGTGCAGACAGAGGTGAGAGCCTCAGTCTCCTCAATCCAAGGACACATCCCTCCTCCTCTTGTTCTCCCTTTCTGAGGATTCCTCTTCCCCCACCAGGAGCAGTACAGGTTCCTATACCACACAGTGGCTCAGATGTTCTTCTCAGCACTCCAAAACACCAGCCCCGTTTACCAGAATTTCAAGGAGGTACCAACGCCCCCTTCCTACTCTCTTCCTGCCCACCATCAACACCCTCAGAGACCAGGACCCAGAGCAGAAGTCTTTGGCCACCATCACTGCAGCATCTAGCCCATGGACTCCTTCTGGGAGCAGAGACTGGCTATGATACCCACTTTTGTCCTCCTTGCTACCTTATCAGACTGTTCATCTTAAGCTTCCCCACTCCAGCCCTGGCAGAGTCCATGGTCACCTCCATCAGGAGTCTGGCCAGTTTCCTCCAAGTCTCATACCCTTTCCCTCCTGTCTTTCCCCAGAACTGTGCCCCAATCTACGACGATGCCCTCTCCTTCCAGACTTCCCAGACCCTTCCCACCACACCGCACCCACCTGGCGAGGTCCTCAGGTACCCAGCTCCATCTCCTCGTTCTTCCCTTTCCAATTTCTCATGCTCAGAGGCTAACCCTTTCCTCGCCCTTGAAACACCAGCCCTTCCTTGCTGTTCAGTTTACCAAATATTCACTGGCTCTTTGAACTGAGTCGGGGAATCTGCCCCAAGATGACACTTTGATCCCAGAGATCCCATTGCCTCTGCCTCTAAGGCTAGCCCCTATGTTATCCCTTTCTTTGCTTCCCTAGACATTAATTTAGCAAATATTTCTTGAGGCCGCCCACTTGTCAGGCCTCATGTCAGGTGCTGGGGACACAGAGTCAACCTTCCTTTGCAGCAGATTTCACCCCCACGGCCTTTAGACTAGCTCTCCATTTTGAGGCTATCCCTCCCTCTCCTTTAGATGCCACTTCCTCATTCTTTTATTCGGACATGTACACAGAAATGACCACCCCTCAGTACCAATATCCTGCCCCATTCACCTGCCAGGCTGTCCCCTTCCCTTCACCCACCTAACTTGCCAGGCATTCGAGACACAGAACCGAGATCCAGAGACCCCTCCCTCTCTCCCCTGAGACCTGCCCGCCCGCTTTCTCCGACCGGCGACCGGCGAGCAGCCTCTGGCGGGAAGGAAGCCGGCGGTTGACGAGCTAAGCGCACTCCCCACCCCCTCCCTCCCTTGGCTCAGTCGCTTCACTTCCTCCCCCGCCCGCCCCACCCGCAGAAGCATCTCGGTGCCGGGGCCCCCGGCCCTCACCATGGCCGACACGTACGCGGTGGTGCAGAAGCGCGGGGCGCCCACGGGCACCGGGGCGGGGGCGCGGGGGCGCGGCGCGGAGGAGGCGCCGCTCTACAGCCAAGTGATGTCGCGCGCCCTGCGGCCGCAGGCGCACGCGGAGGACGCGCGTGGGTTGCTGCCCGGCCGCGGTAAGTCCGGGCCGGGCGGGGGCGGGGCGGGCCTGGGCGCGAAGCGGGAGGGCCGGCACCCACCTGAGCCTTCTCCAGACCCAGTCTTGCTGGGGTCGGGAAGGCCCTGGAGGCCTCAAGGACCCCCCCCCATCTTCCCCCCCACAACTCCGCCCCCAAGTCCGGCCTGGTCAGGGCCTAAGCTGACGTACGTACGTGCTCTCCCGGCCACGCCTCTGGGACTGTTGCCCAACTCCGGTCACGGCCGGAAAAGGGTGCCAGGCCTATCCTTGAGCCCAAGGCTGGGTCCGTTTCTCTGGCGACGCTAGCTAGTCCAGGCGGATCCGTCCGTTTCCGCTACGCCCCCTCCCGCTGCCCTCACCGCCCTGGCCCCCAGCCTGCCAGCTCAGGCCCCGGGAGCCTGGAGGATGCACTTCTGCCCCGGGTGGGTTCCGGAGCTCCGTGGGGCTGCCTGAGTCAATCCTTGGGGGGTGGTTTTCTGCCCGCAGTTCCTGCTGACCAAAGCCCTGCAGGGCCTGACGCCTATGAGGATGTGGTGGATGGAGCTCAGAATGGTGGGCTAGGTGAGTCAAAGCCTGGGTTGCTGGGCCTCCGCAGCTTTGACCAGGATTTGGGGGTTTAGGGATGGTGGCATGGGGCTCACACACTCCGAGTCCTGCGGATGTGGCTGCAGTAAACAACCAGGGCCTGGAGGCTTGAGGATGACCTTCCACACATCTCTGCGCCTCAGCTTCTCCACGAAACACATGGTGCCCTTCTTCCAGGCTTCAACCTGCGCATTGGAAGGCCTAAAGGGCCCCGGGACCCCCCTGCTGAGTGGACCCACGTGTGAATCCTGCACCCTGCCTGCCTGTTGCCTCACATGGGCGCCTGGACTGCTGACGGCCATTCTCTGCTATGTGAAGTGTTGGAAATGGGAATGCTGGTCCTGGATCAAAATAAAAGTTTCTCAGGGTGGAAATGTAGGGGCTTTGCCCCAGTGATTATAGTATTCAAGGCTTGAGGCTGGGGGAGATAGTTGAGAGATAATGGCTGGTGAGACTGCAGTGAACAGATACAAGAATAAACATCAGGAATGGGCCCAACCCCAGGGGACTAGGCAGGTTCTCCCAGGTGTGAAGAAGAGGATGGGCAGATGGGCTTCTGGAGACTGCCGCCATCACCACATAATGGACTAGTTCATCTCAATATCTGAGCCTCCCTCACTTAGACACTCAGCTGGACACAGAAATGGGTAGGCCCTGAAAAAGACTGATAGACACTCCACCACCCCCCAACCACCATTCAGACAGATCCAAGCCAGGTAAACAACCCAGCAAACTGATTTCAAACAGGTAAAAAAGATCCCCACATGGGTACACAGACAGATGGGCCCCCAACCAGGACAAGTAGATAGCCATACACCTAGACAGCCAGACCTTCAGAGGGACGGTCCACAGCTGGATGGATGGACCTCCCATCAGATAAATCAACTAACAGCCTGACAGACCACCCCCCGCAAGAGAGACCATCAAAAAGACCCCTCTCCCAGCTAGGCAGCCAGCCAGACACCAGCCAGATGGACCCCTAGGTGGACGGACTCCCAGACAGACATAAACAAATCCCTAGCTGAACAGATACAGACATCCTCTGCTAGACAGACCCAGCCCCAAGTGGGTGGGCAGACTGACAGACCTAGTCAGACTCCTAACTAACTAGCCAGATGGACTCCCAGCCAGACAGAAAGACCCTTGATTGTACAGACACCTTCCCAGCAAGGCAGATAGGTGGGTAGTCCCCACCAGCTCACCAATTCCAAAGACCCACATTTTAGCGGACAAATTGATGCACCACCTGCTGGGAAGACTGCCAGGTGGATCCCCAGGAAGTCAGCAGGCCAGATAAGTAGACAAACCCTCAGGTAGATAAGCATCCTAAGCCAGACAGATCTCCCACTGTCCAAACCATCTACCAGCTTGGCATACCTTGCAAATCAGCAGATCCTTCAAACAGGCTAGATCCCTGCTCACCAGATCGACCCTCCAATCTCTCAGATAGGGCCTCGGAGGATGAACCCCTAGTCAGACACATGACAGATGACCCCAGCCAGACAGTGAGGCATTATGCTCAGAGATAAAAGAACTCCAAGCCAACTGGCCAACTAGATTCTGAGCTGGACAGACAGAATCCAAACCAGATGAACAGGTGGACCCCCATCTGGAGAGATGAATGGACCCCCAACAAGTCAGACCCTATTTAGACAGATCCCCAACTAGATAGACCCAAATCTGACAGGAAGACCCCCAACCAGACTAACTGAGCTGTTCACGTAGACCCCTGGCCAGACAAACCTTCAGTCTGAGCTGACAGCAGATGCACACAGATTGCTAGTTTGGCAGATAGATCTGCAGCTGGTAAGACAGACATCTAGCCTCACAGACAGACGGACTGACCTCAGACTGACAGATCAGTCTGTAGCCACACGGGCTGATAAATCTCCAAGTAGATAGCTGGAAAAGTGAACTCCAGACAGACTGAATGCCAGCTTGGTAAGACCCTCAGAAAGACCTCTGGCTAGACAGATGTGCAGACCCCCAGCCAGAAGGACTGCAGCCAGACAGATCCCCAACTAGACAGGCGCTCCATGAGCCAGACAAATCTCCAGCTAGACAGACAGAAAAGTGGACCACCCAGCCAGAAAACAAACAGTCCTCCATCAAGATGGATCTTCAAACCAGACAACCCCAAGTGGACAGTAATACAAGAGTAGATTTACTCTTGATCCTCCAAAACCCTGATCCTGCTCTGTGATCTTCTCTCCTGATGTGATTTCCTGACAATGTCTAGTTCATTCAGGTTCCTATCCATAACACAGAAAGCTGTCCTGTGTGATGAGCATGGACCAATGAGGCCTTCACCTGCCACCTGCCCAGCCAGGCCCACATCCCTCATATAGTTACTGTGAGAATTCAGTGAAAGAGAATATAAGATTTAGTTCAGGAGCTTATGCTTGGTAATTGTTAGACCATAATCAGGTCTGAGACAAGTCATTTGCTCTGTTTGTAAAAGGAAGGTGAAACTTGCCTTCCTTGACCAAACAGTGCTTGCTGGCATTGGACTTAATTTGTCAAGTGCTGTTAGGTCTGCACAAGAAGCAATTCAACCAGCCAAAACCTGGAATTGCAGAGAAACCTAGGGATTCTCCAGCTTAATGGGGAACAGGAGGCCAGCATTACCTGGAGTCCAAACTCTTAGGCAAAAGTGAGAGCGGACCTTGGTGGAAAGAGGCAGGAAGGCAGGAAGGCTCCAAGGCTGCTGGTAACAGAGGAGAGTCAAGGTGTCATTTAGAGTGTAAACTGATCTCATAGCCAGAAATATTAAGTTCATTTGGCTCCAGAGACCAGAAAGGGAAAAGCAGTAGTATCTTGGAGGAGAGGCATCCCATGGCAGAAGGAAGAAGCATATTTCCCTCCTCAGGGGAGGGAAACTAAGGTCAATTAGAGCATTGGTCTCTGGGGTCTGTCCTGAAGCCAGCACCCACTCAACCCAACTTCCTACCAGAAACCGTAACTGTGGGGTACTATAGACCCATTTAGGTAAGATTTTTTAACAGTTAGGTCTAAGGCTGAACTGTTTGCAATTCTTAGCTGCCCATTCCAGACTGAAGAGTTGTTCTGCTGAAAGTGAGAACAGCACCCTTGTGACTATCTGAGCAGGTAGATGCCCAGCACCATAGAAAAACCTGTAGGCTTGCAAGGTAGAGCATTCAGAAGAATGCTGGACTGGGCTCTTCACATATTTTATCTCATTTAATCTGGAAAGCAATATTTGTAAGTAAGCAATAATTGAAAGTAACAAAGTCTCCTTTGTAAGTAACCTTGCAAAGGAGACTCAGAGAGATAGTTGTTAGAGATTCACACCCAGATTTAGGTCTCAGTGTTTAGTGTTACAGAAATATATGGCTCTGAGCAAAAGAAGCCCTAAATCTTTAAATGAATATAAATAGCTAGCACTGACTAGGTCCTTGGTATGCACATGGACTGAATGATTAATCTTCAGAGCAACCCACACATAGAGGTAAGTTTGTTACCCCACTTTACAGATGCCAGGAATAACTGCAATGAACACAGCATCTTTTAATATTTCTTTAAACTAAGCAGGCCTGTATCATAGTGATTAATAGCTTGGACTCAGCCACTTACTAGTGGTGTGATCTTGAGCAAGTTTTCAGTTTCTCTCGGGTTCGGTTAGTTTCCTAGTCTATAAATTGAGGACAATAAAGTTACTTTTATCATAGGGCTACCACATGAATGATTGTTCAGAGCAAGAGTGAATCTGGATTTTTACAGCACACATAGAAAAGAAGATTTCTTATTTTTTCAGGGATTATTTCCAGAATAAAACGATTTATATAGTTGTAGTCTTGGTTAACAGTTAACATTTTAAGTCAGTGGGCAAAAAAAAAAAAAATGGTTTATTCAACATATGGTATTGAGATAATTAAGTAGTCATTTAGGAAAAAAGAAGTTTGAGCCATACATCATACCCTACAGCAGGACAAATCCTAAATGTATCAGAAATTTAAATATAAAATAATAAACCATAGAAGCATTAGAAGAAATTATGGAAACTTTTCTTTATATTCTTGGGCTGCAACATGCTTGCTAAATATGGAAAGACATCAGAAGCCCAAAAGAAATATAAATTTTAATGCATAAATATATTTCAACCTCACAAAAATCACCATAAGCACAGTCAGAGAATTAATGACAAACTTGAAAAAAATTTACAACTGAGATCAAACTGAAAGCTAATTTTCTGAGATATAAAAAGCTCTTAAGTATAAGTAAAGGCCAAAAACTCAAAATAAAAATGTGCAAAGATGCCCTATCTTACATGTAATAAAAACCATGAAAATCAAAATTTTATACTGAGATAGCTGATTCCACTTATGTTAGCAAAGATCAAAAAGTTTAATAACACAGTATGGTGTCTAAGATATAAGAAAACGTTCTCATATAGAGCCAGTGGGTGTTTAAATGCATACAACCTCTATGGAAAGCACTTTAACAACATCTATTTAAAAATGCACATACTCTTTGAGGCAGAAATTTCATTTGTAGGCATTTATGTTCTGTGGGTACTCACAGAACTCTAAAATGACTGTTACACTGAGTTATTCACTGTAACACTGTCTATAGTATCAAAAGACTGGAAATAAATGTTCTCGGTGGGGTTCTGGTTAAACAAATGCTATGATGGAATACTCTGCAGTGGAAAAAAGGGGAATGAGACCGCCTCTGTGCACTGATGTGAACAAATTTCTAAATCACATTGTAAAATGAAAAAAAAAAAGTATATTAACTTACCTTATAAAAAGAAAATATTTTATATGAACATATATAAATATGTTTTTCCTTATATACACATAAAGACTATTTGAAAAAAATCACAAGAAATTGGGCAAAGGCCTGCACGTGCGGGGCGCTATCCTGCAGCCGCATGCACCGGGCTGCAGCCACCCGCCTTCTTTTCAGCTCCTCAAATCTTCCATGCTCAGGCATTTGTGTTGGTGGTCCTGTCTCCCCAGAGCCTCAGGTGACCATCTCTGACTCTTGTGCACACTGAGGTCCCTGCCAGTACTGCTATGGTGCCCTGGGGATCCACATCCAGCTCTGTCCAACCCACATAAAAAGATATCAGGACTTTTACCCACAAAGAGCAGCTAGTGTTCATTATGCTTCTGATGTGGTAGGTACTATTCAAAGTGTGTTAAATGTATTAATCCATTTAATACTCCCAAAGAGATTAGTACTATCTGTATCCCTATTTCATAGATAGAAAAAACTTAGATGGAGACGTTAAGCAATCCAAGGTTCCACAGTTAGAAAATAGCAGAGATGTATTTCTAATCTAGACATTCTGGTCCCCCACACCAAAAAAAGTGTAGTCATGCCTAAAACCCTAAAGTTGAACTTTCTCCACCCTGACCTTCCTTAAATAAGTCAGTGTCTCCATGAGAACGTGAGATCAGAAGTTCTACAGCTACCAGGAAATGTTTCAAATTTACAGTCCTGTATACAATGGATGCTTTTAAATCAACATAAAAAATATCAATAGTGTGATACTGTGATTTATAATAAATACATGTTTTGGCCTTCATCTACCAGTTCCTAGCTTCCAGCTCCTAAAACCCTTGGAATTTCCTAAGCATTGAGAGCATCCTTTGTAATAATATCAGGCCTTTTGTCCTCTATTCCAGAAATTGTTTCAGAGCCATAAAGGTGAAATGGGTGTAATGTTATTCATAATAAGGCCCTTTCTACCATACTTGAGTTTATGTTAATGAAGTGACTTTTGAAAAGCCTCTAAATAACTAAGGTTAGAAGCTGTTTGCCAGGGAAACCAACCATATGATTAAAGGGTTGGAACACTCAGCCCCACCTGTGACCTGCGTGAGGGGGGTGGTACCTGGAGGTTAAATTCAATCACCAATGGCCAGTGATTTAATCAACCATGCCTACATAATGAAGCCTCCATAAAAATCCCTGACTACCAGTTTGGACAGCTTCCAGGTTGGTGAACCAGCATGCATCCACATTCTGGGAGAGTGACACACCCTAAACTCCATAGGGACATAAGTACCTGTGTTTAAGATTATTCCTGACCTCACTCTATGTATCTCTTCATTTGGCTTTTCAATCATGTACTTTAATATCCTTTGTAATAAATCAATAATCTAGTAAGTAAGTTGTTATTCCTGAGTTCTAGTAAATTAATCAAACACAAGGAGGGGATTGTGGGAACCTCCAATTTATAGCCAGTCAGTCAGTAGCACAGGCAACAACCTGGACTTGCAGTTGGCCTCTGAAGTGGGGTCAGTCTATCTCTAGGTAGACATCAGAATTGAGTTAAATTTGTGGGAATTGGAGAATTGCTTGGTGGTGGTGGGTGGGAACCACCAGAAATAATTACTTTGAATATTTTAGTGGGCTCATTTCTCACTTTGGGTTTCTTCTGGAGGGTGGGGGAATGTCCATGATCAGTACATCCCAGCTTAGAGGAGAACACTTAGCCATATTTCTGCTTTCCTGAAATATGACAAATGTATTTAAGAAAAGGGAAACCAACATGGGGGATATGCTGGGGAAACCTGTATAGTGTCCGTGGGACAGAGGGAGGAGAGGAGACAAAAGACAAGGAAACACTTTCTCCAGCTGGTATGAAAAGTACAATAAACAGTGCAGGGAAGCATGGGTGGGTGTCTCTTAGTCCAGCAAGAAGTGAGGAAGGAGAGCAATGGGTCAGGAAGGGTCTTCGAGAGGAAATGACACCTGGCTGAGCTGTATTTACTGAGTTCAGTTACTCGTGGGCTAATTTAACTGCTAGTGAAAGTTAACTTTATTTTTATGTATACTCCCGGTCAGCTCATTGATAGGGAACCACAGAGACCCCATAACATGTGAATTGGTGCCTTTCTATGTTGGCAGTGGGAAAATGTATTGGGGTAACTGTTTTGAAGAATTATTTGGCAATGTCTACCTTTTAACAAACCAGTTCACTAGGAATCTACTCTCTGCATATATTCTCAGATTTCACTTTAAAAATGGTTGGCTAGGAAACTGTGGAAAGAGCCAAGATGTCCATCGACAGATGAATGGATAAAGAAGATGTGGTATATATATACAATGGAATATTATGCAGCCATCAAAAGGAATGAGATCTTGCCATTTGCAATGACATGGATGGAACTGGAGGGTATTATGTTGAGTGAAATAAGTCAAACAGAGAAAGACATGTATCATATGATCTCACTGATATGAGGAATTCTTAATTGTAGGAAACAAACTGAGGGTTGCTGGAGTGGGGGGTGGGGTGGGAGGGATGGGGTGACTGGGTGATAGACACTGGGGAGGGTATGTGCTCTGGTAAGCGCTGTGAATTGTGCAAGACTGTTGAATCTCAGATCTGTACCTCTGAAACAAATAATGCAATATATGTTAAGAAAAAAAAAAAAGAAGAAGAAGAAGGTAGCGGGAGGGGAAGAGTGAAGCGGGGGAAATCGGAGGGGTAGACGAACCATGAGAGACGATGGACTCTGAAAAACAAACAGGGTTCTGGAGGGGAGGGTGGTGGGAGGATGGGTTAGCCTGGTGGTGGGTATTGAGGAGGGCACATTCTGCATGGAGCACTGGGTGTTATGCACAAACAATGAATCATGGAACACTTCATCTAAAACTAATGATGTAATGTATGGGGATTAACATAAGAATAAAAAAAAAATGGTTGGCTAGGGGCGCCTGGGTGGCTCAGTCGTTAAGCGTCTGCCTTCGGCTGGGGTCATGATCCCAGAGTGCTGGGATCGAGCCCCGCATCAGGCTCCCTGCTCCGTGGGAAGCCTGCTTCTCCCTCTCCTGCTCCCCCTGCTTGTGTTCCCTCTCTCGCTGTCTCTCTCTGTAAAACATATAAATAAAAAAAAAAATCTTAAAAAAAAAAAAGTTTAAAAATGGTTGGCTAATTTAACATAATAATAAAAAATGTTTTATATTGATTATATGTTGAAATTATATTTGACATAAATAAAATATTAAAACTAAATAAAATGTTTAATATATGTAATTTAATTAATGTATTAATTAATGTATTTAATTTAATTTAAAAATGGTTTTCTCTGGAGCTGGGAAGTAGTCTGAGAATGAAGGGCTGTCACCCTCTGGGACAGTGCTGTGTGATTGTTAAATGCAGCTGAATAAAACACTCCCTCAGAAGAATCATGAAAAGGCAGATGTGTTCTGTGCAATTTGGTGGCATAGTGGAGGAGAATTAAATGTGTACACTTAATTAACCATCTCTCCATGCCCCCCTTTTCCTCTCATATTTCAGAGGAGAAGGTAAAATGTAAGGAGGGGCTCCTGCCTAGGGTTCTTCTATGACTGTGCCCTATGTTAGTAGGCAAAGTTGTGAACATGAAAGGGCACCAAGTGGGCAGGCAAGAAGGACAAGGAAAGGGTCATTTGAAACATGGTTATATTCTCTTATTTATGTACACTATCTGCTTTTCCATTCAGAAGCCATGAAGCTGTTTCCTGGGACACATGACTTCCCCAAAAATGTGCCCACTGTACATGCAGCATCCCCAGGGCTGACATTTGGAAAACGAGGGCATCTCATGTGTTCCTCCCTGACCCCGGGACACGTATTTGGTAGCTTTCTCACCGAGGCTGAGCAGAGCCCACTCCGTCCTTGCAATATAGAAATGCAGACTGTGGTGCTGAGTGTGCAGTGACAGAGAAGCCTGGGTGAGAAAAGTAAGCCTCTGGCTACTATTTGTTCAGAGGCCTTTGTTCGTGTGTGTGTGTGTTTTGCAAATGTGGTCTTAATCACATAAGCACACTCATTCCATCAAATCAATGTGCCTTACATACTCATGAACACATTAGGCACAGAATAAAATACCTAAGTCTCTAAGTGACTCTGAATTTTCCTGCTTCTCAGATGGTTTGATGATTGATGATTTGTGGGGACCTGATCAAGAGCATTTTGAGTTGAGGGTGATTTTGACTGCACTAATATAAACACTTCCTGAAATTTAGAATTAACACCAAGTGCACAGCTCTCATTAGCATCTGTCTTCCCATACAAGATTATCATTGAATTATATTTGTCTTTCTTGCCTTGGGAAGACAAGTTAAATGTCTAGGGAATTTCATGTCTGAAAAGTGCTTAATTTGAGGGTGCATTACAAAGAAATTTCGATTCCCTAGGACTAAGTGTCCTCTTGGAGAATAACGAATACATTTCTAGAGGCTTTACTGTTTGTTAGAAGAGAAAATATGCTTCACAGCCATTCCTTACAGGTTTTTGACTCCTTTCCTCCCATGTTCCCACACACGCATACACATGCACACACAATTTTTCCAACATCAGCTCTTTCTGCGTTTTTCCAAATCCTGTTTCTTGATACTTTCAGTTTTTCGAAGAGACCCTCATTAAGCAATTGAGTTCTGTGGTTCTAAGATGAGTAGGTATTTTTAGTTCTAATGTGGAATGGAGGATGCGGGGTTTGGGTGAGGGACAGAGAAAAAAATCATGGCCTGTTGGAACTAGAAAGCACCATATCTTTGGAAGAGGGGAAAGGGCGAGAAGGAGGCAGAGAGAGGTGACATTTAGGAGCCAGGCATATGTGGATGTGAATGAGGATGAAGGCAAGAGAAATGGAGGTGCAAGTGCAGAAGTGAAAAAAGACATGGATGACTTGCTCAGGAACAATTGCTTGTTGGCAACAGGTTAAAGAGTTGAGTCCTTGGCAGCTGACACTATGCAGATGGAATGTATTCGTTGCAGAGTATCTTTGTTCCTCAGGGTAGCAAAAGTCGGAGGCACTGCAAAGTGG